CTCAGTATTATACTATATATTAATATATACTATTCACAAAACTAAATACAAGGTTTTGAATTTTGTTTTTGTATAATACATGCAATACATTGAACTACACATTTCAAAAACTAATATATATATTATGCTAAAAAATTTCTAAAAATTATTTAATGACAATATAATTATTAGAAAACTAATTATGTTTGTTAACTTTATAAAAATAAATTAAGAAAAACGATAGAAATAAAATAAATAAATAATATCATATGTAATTTATATTTATTATAAAACATGTTTATTTTTACTTAAATCAATAGTCTTATTATAAGGTGGCGCTAACTTTTGTTTTATATGTCAATATTGGTCGTGTATTATACAAACATTTTGTCTCTGCCAACACTAATATTTACTAACTTAGTATTTATTTGTGAATCAACCTTAGCTATAAAACTTGTTAATTATTTAATATTAGTTATAGATATTATCAAAAATACAAAATTATTATTTTTTAAATTTTCACACATAAATATATTGACAATAGTATTAATGTTTATTAACCTACAATTATATAAAATAAATACAGTAAATCAAAATAAACTTCAATTTTAATCTATAATTAAAAGTAATAACAAATATATATTTTATTTTATTTTAATATATTTAGATAATTTATTACCATTTATTAAAATATTGTTGTTTTTAAATTATATAATATTTTACTAATAACATACAAAAATATTTTAATTACATATTATTTTGTATGAAAACGCATTGATAGTAATAATTAAATTTTTTAAATAGATATTTTTAGTATATTAGATATAATTAAAATAAATATTCACAAAATATACAGTTTATTAAAATATTAATATTATTGCGGCAAATATTATAAAGAGCACCGACAGGTATTATAGTGCAGGTGACAGACATATAGAAAGAGAGAGAGAGAGAGAGAGAGAGAGAGAGAGAGAGAGAGAGAGAGAGAGAGAGAGAGAGAGAGGACAAAGATACTAATCAGTGGAAATAAAAAACAAAAATATTTTGTACTATAAATGGATTGTCGGATACAACAAAACATAAGGAATTTTGTATATATTTTAAGTTGTGATACAACTCAAAGAAAATATGCCGCAAATACCCAATACTTACATATTTAGTAAAACAAAAGTGACATTTTTGACCAAAATATACTGTTTACTTATATCCCGTAAAATTTACAATTTTTTTAGTAATAGAAATATATCATAACTTAAAGATTAGTTAAATATTTGTACCGATTATTAGTCAATATATATAATAAAAAACTAACAAATATACAAAATACTAAAATAAATGAAATACTATATAATATTATGTTTAACTTAAGTATATAAATATAGTGGGAGTTTACATATTTGACATTTTTTCTTTATAATTAATACCAGATTAGTTACATTGTTATATAAAATATACACAGAATTAATATAATAAAAATAGTTAATAACTATAGTATGTACGTTAAAACTTCACTATTAAAATAATATTTTTTTTATAAATCCTAACTTATAATAATCAAAGTTTATAAATAAAATTATTTACTTTAGTTTTATTATTTTATTTTAAAATTGTTGTTTTGTGTCTTTAAAAACCTATTTAATTATAACTAACTACAGTATAATAAGTATATTTGTATATAAATATCAAACTATTCTATATATAAATATAAATTGTTATAGAATTGAAAAGTTCATAAGTAATCAACATTATTATCGGCACTTTTATGGTTTAAGAAATATTTAAGAAATTTTGCAAAAATGTATGTCTCGTCACTTATTTGCAATATTTACGTAAACCAAATCACCACATATTTATGATCCCTTTCCCCTTCAAATAGCTATCGCACACCTCTATTGATGGGACAAAAATTGCGATGTCTTTCAATAATTGGCTTTTAAACGACTCATTTATACCGTTTATTATATACATTACAAAATTCGAGTTAAACTTATATATAAATTAAAACTTAGTGTCGACTTAAATATAAATCAAAATATATTTAAGATTAACATATAGTAAATATAGTAAAAATACATAATATAAGCAAAAAAAATACTATATCTGTCGGCAATGTTTGTGTCGTTCAATGTTTGCAATGTTGTTGTAGTTCTGGTTATGGATTAAGATTTGACTAAAAGATTACATTCAAAAATCATCACAAAGTATATGACAATCAAGTCTTAAGTGATTTTAAGTAAATAGTTTGCAATGCAATCACTTGTGACAGCTATAGGTCAAGCATTTTCATTAATTTCATATATTTTACTTATTTATTAAATATAATTTATATTAAATTAAATATGTGAAATTATACTTAAAATAATTTAATGTAAAGTATAAATAACAACAACAAAATACAGTAAAATATTAGTTTATAAATTATAATTTTAATTATTATAAATGTTTCAAAGTTAGCATTAAAACAATAAAATACAAAAGTTTTATTAATATAGGATATAAATTATATTACTAATAGTTATTTACTATATTAATATACTATACTATAAATTAATTTACAATACTATAATATAGTAGAGTTCAAAACGGTTTCGGTTTAAAACAGTTTTTTAAAACTATTGCCATTAATATTACTGTACAATATATTAAAATTATTATAAAACATATTTAAATTATTATTACATTTCAAGTAAAAATATATTAATTATAGCTTATTTTGATTATTCTGTATTACTTTATATTTATAAAAATTTTAAAAATAAAATTATATATTTTATGTGACGTAACTACGGTTCGGTTTCTAAAATTAGTTTTGATTGCGATCTCTACTATACATTACATTAAATACAATATTCAATTAAATTGTATAACATATGAAAATTTAGTATAATATGTGACATCTATAGAGTCAATAATAAATTATTTTTATTACACATTTACTGATGCATTAGACATTAGTAATATTAATAAGAAATGTTTTATTAAATAAGAAACTTTAATTTTTACTAAAATACCAAATATGTAAAAAAAATTAATTAAATTAAATAATTTTAATTCAGATAATAGCAATCAATGGTAAATGATTTAAATAAAATTTATTTAAAATTGTATTGACACTAGAGTTGGGGCAAATTTCAATAGTTTTTTGGTTATAACTTTTCAACGAATTGGAAGAAAACAAAAATATTTTATTTAAAATTTTATGTCTTTTTGTGACCAATAGAATGATTATATATAATATATATTTATTTATTACTTTTATGTATTGTATGTATTTGTATGTAGAAAATACATGTATTTTTTATTCATTACATTAGAATTTTTATAAAATCCTTAAACACGTATCAAATGATTTTGTATCGAATATATTATACATTTTACTGAATCTCAATAACTCTTATAGATTTTGAGATATCGAACATCCCTGACCTCTCATCCCTGACCTCTCATCCCTGACCTCTCATCCCTGACCACTCATCCCGGAGCCGTTATATAGAAAATGTATTGCTATAACATTCATCCCATTTTAGATTTGTTTTCAAAAACTTATTTTTTAAAACATATATTTTATAAAGAATTCATAACTATTTAATAGATGGCGACATAGTTTCAAAATTTATTAAATTAATGCTATATTTATAGATTTATTAATTTTAATATACAGTTGTATAGTACAGTAATTATACTACAATTATTTATTTGTTAGATTTATTGTATAAATTTTGTACATTTTATATGCAAAATAATATAATAGATGTTTTATTAGAAGTCCTTTTTAAATAAAATCATAAACCGTTATAAAATAAGTTTAGTAATATATAAGTTAATAGTTTAAAAATTTAAATCCTATGTTAATTAATAATAATTATTATGATAAAATTTAAAATAATAATATAGTAAAAAATATAATAAATTAGTAATAACAATTATGGTGAATTAACGATTTATTAATTTATGTAATACTTTTATTTTTTTAAATTATTTATATCAATAGTAATATATTTTGTATTTATGTTGACTACTATTATTGTTTCCCAAAAAAACCTAAACTGAAAGTCATTTACTTAAACTATTCAAAAATTGTTTTGGTTTTAGTTGTTTTGCAAAACCGTATCAGTTCTGAACATAAATATAATATCTTATAAAATAAATTTTAAAAAAATTAAAGCATTTTTCAGAATTAATAATAATACAATACATAATCGATCACACAGTATATATCATGTCATAATCAAAGTTAAACTTAATTAAGATATTTAATGTTTTCACAGATTATTTTGTCCAATATATATATATATATAATATTTTCTGAATATATTGAGATTTTGTATAAAAGTTTAATTTTGAGATAATTTAGTTTAATTTTTAAATAAATATATTTATGATTCACTACGTCTATAATGAAATTCTTGTATAAATTGTTGAGATTAAATATTTTTTAGTATTTTATAGAAATTTATCCTTATTAACAATATTTTAAAATATTAAATTTTTATTATATAATATATATATTCAGGATTGTAGATATTTGTTATAATTATTATACAGTATAAACACTACATTTCTTTAGTACTAATTTTTTCTATATATAGTGACACAAACACACACTAAAGTCATCAACAATAGTGTACTTCAATTTAACTCTCAAAAGAGTTTATAAATACACCAAACATACCGTTCCTTTTGGGTAATGCTTACGAGTGGCACAAAATCTTAAGTGAATCCAAAAGTTTATACTAACCATAGTTTAGAAAAAAATCTCATTTTATATTCAATACTTAGTGAAGTCTTACAGCTGAAGCATTCACTAAAATCAAAGACAAATGCAAAAAATATTTTTAAAAAGTGACTGAATGTGCGCTTAAAAAACATTTAACTACTGTTGTCTCAATTGAAACGAATATTCACTAATAATTTGGATAAATATAACTTCAATTCTCCAATAATATTCTGTAAATGTATTTTAAAGATATAGAGAGTTATATCGACAATTGAAACTCATGTGATAATCAAATTATAATCCATTTATATAAATAAAAAAAAATTGTTTTCAAAGTTATTCCAGGAATAACATGTTTTTAAAACTATAGTGTCATTAAATATAATCATAATAATGTGTTGTTTTATCTATTTTTACTAATATTATTTAAAAATTTTAATTTGTTTTTTAACTTAATAATTATATTATAGTTATTGTGTGTTCAAACAGACAATGTCTTCAAAATTAAGTTGTGTTAGATTATTGACTATTTTATTGATATGGATATTGTGTACGAGTGGTAGTATTGATACAATTAAACGCAAGTCTCCGCTTCATTCAGATTTCATTGAAGAAGTTGAAGCAAAACGGTTAGAGAAACTGTTAGACGAACAGGACTTCATTGCTGTGTTTTTTTGTAAGTCATTTAATTATTATATCATTTAATTGTTTAATATATTCGTAGATTATTTAATATATAAATCAATTTGTGTTCATTAATATATATATCTACAAAAATAGCAATATTTTTACTTATATAATAATTAGCTTGTTTTTCATTGTGATTAAAGATAATAAATAATAACACAATAATAATATTATAAATAAAAAATAGTTCACATTTTAAATCTCAAATTCAATTTTTAAAAATAATTTAGATTAAAATAGATATGCTTTAAAATGTTTGTGCAAACATTTTTTTTTTTTGCTTTAGATTCTGTTAACTATTGACTAAACCGATAAATAAAAACAAGAAATAGAGAATATAAAGAAATAAAGAGAATAATAGTGAAAGAGATTATCAAATTATATCAATTAATACAAATCTATTAATCTAACAAAAAAATAATAAACTATAAAAATTATTTTATTTAAAGTTGAATATAAAATTTAAATATTAAATCTATTTTTCCAATGCTTTTAAATCAAACGATTCGTCCCTCAAATCTAACAAATACTACTATTAATAATAAATGAAATCTATTTTTACAACTTTAGAGATTCATAAGCATAGAGCAAACAGTTATGCGTTAGTGTAACTAATATACACTAATATATTAATAGCACTCCTCCTCTATTTGTTGCTTAAACTTATAGGACTTTCCATTTTTGGTTGTCTTAACCACCTTTCAACTAACAACTATGAAATTTTCATCAAATAATATAATATAAATTTCAAGTAAAACTTTATTTTTATTATTCTAATTATACATTAAATAAAATAATAATTTATATTTTATAATTTAGTTTTAAAAATCATATAATTTAAAAATAATATTTTAATTAAATTATTTTATAACTGTGGTAAATTTTTAAAAAACTTGGTAAAATAAAATAATTATTAAAATGAAATTACTAAACATTATTATAATATTTAAACAATTACTAATAAAAACAATTAATTTAATCAGTATAAAATGTTATAATTTAAAAATATAATTATCTACTCATATCTTATACAAAGAAAACTTTATAGATTAAAAATTAGATATCAAGTTGTTTCATACACTATAATTAAGTTAATGATGCACTTGTTTATTGTAAATTATTTTATAAAATAAAATAAATTATTTAAATTTATTTAAACATTTGATAAAAGATACTAGATCATGTGAAAATTGTAAAGATATATTAGACGAGTTAGAGAAGATTGATGGAGAAGCAGACAAATATGGGGTCGAGTTTGTCAAGAACTCTGAGAGAGCGGCCGCCAAAAAGTATGGTATCACTCAATTCCCATCCCTTGTCTACTTCAGGCACAGGGAATCCACCCTTTTTGAAGGTAAACTCGGGTTTATAATCATATATTATAGATTATATGACATCAAACTTTATTATATTACACTTTTATTATTTAGTTATATTAAATTATATTAATATTAAGTGGTTAATTAATTAATTAATTATTATATTGAGAATACATAAAAAATATTTTATTATAAAATAAATATTTGATTTAGGTTATATTTATAAAAATATTTTTATTCATTTAGTAGTATAGTTTAATGAATTATATAAATCGTAATATAAATGTATAATACCGGTTTGTATTATAAATTAATTTATAATTAGAAATATAACCGTAAATATGAAATATTATAAATTAATTGCTATATATTTGGAATATAAAGTATGTATAGAAATGTTTAAATAAGAATATTTTTCAAAGAAATTCATTAGTATTTGTTTACATTTTCTATATTTCTAAATTTGAATAATTCATTATAATTTTAAAATTTAATTATAATATAAATCATACAAATTATAAAATAAAATATTTTTAAAAAATGAATTAATAGGAGATCTGATGAATGAGTCGGAAGTATTGGAATGGTTGACAAGTGTAGAGTCAATGGATTTGCCCGATAAGATTGAAGAAGTAAATGCAAAAATACTACACAATTATATCGATGAACACGACTTCGTTGCCGTACTTTTCTGTTGGTTTTCTTTGTTTTCTAACTTTTACTTTCATTTAATAACTAATACTTTTAATTTAATAGTTTATTATAATTTAAATGACAGTTTGAACAATGATTTTATTGTGTTTATAAAGTTTAATAATTTGTGCTATAAATATATTATAATTGTTTATAAAAAAAATTGAGTCATAAAAATGTTATTTTTAGCTAAAATTTAAGTTTAGTTAAGATTTAGTTTATCTTTTATAAAAACACATAAGCATTGAATAGTAAAATAGCAATAAATGAATTAATTATATAAATAAACAATAATAATTTATTAGTAAGTGTTATAATGACTTTTAACTGCTAAATGATGACTATTTCTTATATTTGGTAATATTATGACAGATAAACAAAACTGTAAGAAATGTGAGAAAGTGTTGCATCACTTGGAGGAGATCGACGACGACGCCGACCAACACAACATCGGATTTGTAATGAATCTGAAAAATGTATTCAATTTTTAGTTATAATTGTTTTATATTTTTTTAGGTAAAAATATCTGAACCCGAACTCGCATATGAATATGGTTTGTATTATATATTTTAAATTTCAAAGATTTACTGTAAAACTTGATTCATAAACGGAAAATGCAAACAAATGTCATATTATTTTATTGTATTTGATTACATGTTTTTATCACAGGACTGGATGAACTGCCAGCTCTGGTCTACTACAGGAAAAAGATCCCAATTGTATACACAGGTATTGTGTTTCTAAATAAATAGAATTTTTTAATTAATAATTTGTATAATCAGATAACTTGGAAGAAGAGCAAAAAGTGTTGGACTGGCTCTTGGAGTTTAGGGACACCGTTGAAGAACCGGATGAGTTTGTCGACGACTCCGATGAGATTGAAGACGTGAGCGCAGCTATACTGACACAACTTATTGAAAGTTCAGACTCTTTGGCTGTTTTGTTCTGTAAGTGGTAAGCAATTTATGGTTCAAACAAATACACTCTCAACTAATCTCTACTTTACTCTCTAATAATACATACTATAGATGATGACGAAGACAAAGATAGTATGGAAGTGCTCCGAGAATTGGGTCTGTCATTGATTTTTTATAGTCTAATACTATATATTAATATTTTTATTTATTTATCTATTTTTATATAATTAAAATTATATATACAACAGAAAACATTGACGACGAATGCGATCAAAATAACATAGCATTTGTCAAAATAGGTATTAAAATATTTATTTGACATTTATTTTATACACACTTTTTTAATTTAGAAAATTTTGTTTTTACTGTTATTTTTTAAAAATCAAGTAATGATTGATAATATCTCATTAGTTTATTTAAAGTTTGTTTGTTTGCTTACTTTGCTATTTACAATTTGTTTATAAATTTGAGTTGTATTTTGGTATTCAATCTTTTTGTTATTAAAAAATAGCTGAAATTATAGCAATTAAAAAAATAAAGTACATACAGTTATGTTACAATTGGCATTACTTAAATTACTTATAAATATTTATATAATAATATTTTGATAACTGTTTATTAAAATATTATTAATATCTAATAAAAATCTGAGTACTATCTGTTTGTCAAAAATAAAAGTTTATTTACCAAAATGTTTTAATTATTTTATAAAAAGTTTTTATATACAAAATTTAACTCTTATTTACTTTTAAACAATTAGTTATAATAATAATAAGCAATTATTATATTAATAAGCAGTAAATTTAACAAAATTTATATGAAAACCAATTATAAATCACTTTAAATAATCATATACTATTGAATTTTTTAATTATAAATATTATAGTTGTAATCTCACAATATAACAATATATAGACTAAGATAACAGTTAGACTTTTTTATATAATTGTATAAATTAATTTATAAAATTATATAACTAAGTCAATGATATAATTAATATTAACTGACTCATTAATACAGTAATATTAAAAATGTTTAAACAATGAATATTAATTTTTGTCTAATAGATAATTTATTTAATTAACATAATTATTATCTAATGTTTATACAGATGATGTTGAAGTGGCCAAACGTTTTGGCATTGATTATCATGAGTTACCAACTTTGGTATATTTTGAGAAAAAATTACCAAACTTTTATCAGGGTATTCATTATATAATTTAAAGACAAACACAAACATTAATAACATTGAAATATTAATTTCATTATAAAAATTTAGGCGATTTAATGGTAGAGGAAGAAGTACTCAAATGGTTAATACATCAGAAAAGTAGTGATGAAATAGAGGACGTATCAGATGTAGTATTGGATAATATGATTGACTCATCCAGTTATTTGGCAGTTTTATTCTGTATTACATTTTATTCATTTATTACATTTAATTATCAAAACAATTAATGTGATCTTATTTAATATGATAGATGATAGAGACAATCAAAAATCAATGGAAGTACTGCAAGAACTTGAAAATATTGACGACGAATGCGACGAAAAGGGAATATTGTTTGTCAAGATAGACGACGACACCGTTGCCCGAGAGTATGGCATCGATGATGAGTTACCGACTTTGGTCTACTTTGAGAACAAGATTCCCAGTGTATATCAGGGCGACCTCAAGAATGAAGAAAAAGTACTCGAATGGTTAGTCAGACAAACACAGACCGATGAGATTGAAGAAGTCAGTCATGAAATGCTGGATCTACTCATTGAGAAACATAATTACATTGGAGTTCTTATCTATAAACCGAAAGATAAAAATAGTGAAAAATTACTCAAAGAGTTGGGTAAGACATCATAATTGGTTTGAATTTTAACATAACTTTTAATCTTATATTTATTTTATTATTTATTTTGATTAACCGTAAGAGCTATTAATTAATTTTATTAATTACAGAACATATTGACGACGATTGCGATGAAAAAGGAATAGTATTTTTAAAGACCGACGACAAAGAAGCGGCAGAAAAGTATGGAATCAAAAAACTTCCCGTTATTTTATTCTTCAGATTCCAAGTGCCCACACAATACAGCGGTGACATTATGAATGAGGAACAGGTCCTCAAGTGGTTTGTTGACCAACAAGAGACTGAAGAGATTGAAGATGTCAATAGTCGGACATTGAAGTCACTCATCGATAACAGCGATTCATTGGCTGTTCTTTTCTATGATAGTTCCTCTGCGAAGAGTACTAGTGTTTTAAAGGACTTGGAAGAGATTGATGACGACGCAGAAAAATATGACATCCCTTTTGTTAAAATAGACGACAAATCGGTAGCCAAAGAGTTTGGTGTTGACGATGAGTTACCAATACTTGTATATTTTGAAAACCGATTGCCAACTGTATATGAGGGCGATCTTACTAATGAAGAAGTTGTCCTTCAATGGCTAATTAAACAGAAAACTGAAGATACTGTTGAAGAAGTAACAGAAGAAATATTGGATGACTTGATCAGAGAAAGAGAATATGTATTAGTCTTCTTTGCGCCCAATAATTGCAAAGATTGTGACGAAATTTTGCATAAGAGTTTAGAGACCATTGATGACGATACTGACGAACACGGAATATTACTCGTCACAACTGATGACTTGAATTTGGCCAAAAAACAAGCAAAAGTCAATAAATTTCCAGCACTTGTACTCTTTCGTAATGGAGAAGCTGTACAATACAAGGGAGATATGCGTAAACCAGAAGCTATACTTAAATGGGTAACCAGTGAGGAAGCATTGGATAAACCGGACGAAATTGAAGAAATCAATGACAAAATGTTGGATAAAATGTTAGAGAAGAACTCATATGTGGCTGTTTTGTTCATTAAAGAGAAGTGCAGTGAATGCGATAAAGTATTAATTGAATTAGAAAACATTGATCACATCGCTGAAGAACAAGACATTGATTTTGTTAAAGTCAAAGATCCTAAAGTTGCCAAAGAGTACAATATATTGACATTCCCGACACTTATGTTTTTCAGAAATAGATTTCCACAGTTTTATGAGGGAAATCTCAAAGATGAAGATACTGTACTCAAATGGCTTATTGATCACAAAGAAGCCAAAGAGGATATCATTGAACTTGTGGACAGACATATGTTAGAAGTACTTCTTGACGATATCGATCACATAACTGTTTTTTTCTACGATGGAGATGACTGTCCTGACTGTGACACTATACTCAAAGAACTGGAGAATATAGACGATGACACTGACAAACACGGCATTCATTTTGTATGATTTGTTTTGTTTTAAGATTCATAAATGACTAACAATTCGGCTATATTTAGGTTAAAACAGATGACGATGACTATGCAAAAGAAATTGGTATAATTCAATTGCCAGCACTTGTCTACTTTGAACATAAGGTTCCCTCCATTTATGACGGAAATCTATATGAAGAAGAAGAAGTATTGGAATGGTTGATAAGGCAGAAGAATGAGGACACCATCGAGAATGTCAATCGAGATATTCTGTTCCGAATGATAGCTGAAAAAGAGTATTTAGCCGTTTTCTTCTATAAGCTCGACGACGACGAATCAGAAGAAATAATTGAACATTTGGAGAAGATTGATGATGACTGTGCTGACTATGACGTCCATTTGGTCAAAATTAGTGATCAATTGATTGCCAAGAAGTATGGTATTCGTCAACCACCAGGTCTTGTATTTTTCAGACGCGGCAAACATATCAAATTTGAAGGCAACCTCTTCGATGAAGAGGAAATACTAGAGTGGTTAACCCGACCCGAGAACATGGAATTAAGTGATGCCATCGAAAAGGTTAACAAACGTATGTTTGAGCGTATGTTAACCCGAACCGTATATTTGGCGGTACTTTTCTATAGTAAAACTGATTGCAAACAATGCGATAAAGTGCTCGAAGAGTTAGAAAGAGTAAGTAATTTCATTATAAAATCTATTAAATTTATTAAATAAAGCAATTAATAGTAAATTTTTTTTATTAATTTAATTTTAATATTATTAACTCAATTGCTTTAAGATTGACGACGAGGCCGATGCCGCCGGTATTAAGTTTGTTAAGATAGACGACTCACAATTGGCCAAAAACTATGGTGTCTTTGCTCTGCCGGCACTCGTATTCTTTAAGAAGGGAGATGAAGAAGAGCCCATCATTTATGCCGGTATTGAGAATTGATAACAATTTTTAAAAAATAATTTATGATATTTTACCAAATTTTTAAAATTAAATTAAATTAATAAAATTAACTATAAATTTTTAGGTGATTTGAAACGGTCTGAAAAGATCTTAGACTGGCTCATCAATCAAAAGGACCCGTCACTCGACAAGATTGAGGACGTGGACGCACCGGCACTCAGAAAATTGATTGAAAACTCTGATCATTTAGCCGTCTATTTCTGTGAGTGCTTATCATAACTATTTTTTATGAGTATATCTTTATTTATGAAATGATAGCATATTTTTAATTATTTTTTTTGGTTTTTCTCTTCAATGACTTCCTTATACTTAGAGAATGAAAGTTCAAAAAATAAATATTAAAACTTAAAAAAAATCGAGTAAACAATTTTCATATGAATATAAATTGTTATATTATTTTGATTTTTTTGAGTTTATATTTTACCACTTAATATAAATAAAATGTTTAATTCATTATTCTATCAAATCATACGAATCTTAACAAAAACTTTAATTATGCATTCAATTGAATGTTGAAAATTTGTTGTTTATATAATTAGCTCATAGATATACAGTATAATAAGTTTTTGGTTTTATTTTATTATTTTTTAAGCATTTTTTGATTGAAATAAACGATTTTAGTTTATTAGATGGGTGTGTATGTTGTGAATGGTTTACATTTAATATTAATAGTCTATACTCAGGGTTAAGTAAAGAGGGGGTAGGGGGGTAAGGACTAAAAAAGTAAAAAAGTTAAAATAACGTTAAAACTCATCTAAAAATAATATAATTTTAATTAAAATATTAAACTAAAAAATTAAAAATTACCTATTTGTTGAAAAGAGTAATCATATTACAATATAAATATAAGTTTAAGATAGTTTAAGAAGTTAATAAAATAATAAATACTTATATTACAAGGTTTTATTAATAATTTTTAAAATTTTAACTAAAAAATTAAAAAAATTTCAATTTTATAATTAGTATTCAGTCAGTATTTATATAAAAATAACATTAAAAAATAAAAATATATATCTATAAACTATAATCATTAAGTATTATTTAAAAAATTAATTATTTTAAAAGTTAAAAATTACTAAAATACTAAAAAAACTCATAGTGTATTATTAATGCTTTTATCAACTATTTTTAAGTATTAAATACATAATTATTTTATTTTTTGTTAAAATTTAAGTTTTTATTAAGTTTTTGTTGTTTTAAGTTTTTTTTGTATTTTTGGAAATTTTACTTATTTTCCTGTGAATTTATACGGGAACTTATGGGAACTTTATCGAATTTACATGGGAATATTCGGGAATTTAAGGAAATATTAGGGAATTTTCTTTTGACCCCCCCCTTGATTTTTGAAAAAATTGCCGTTTAAAAATGCAATAAAAATCTTACCCCACCCAATACCACCCCCAAGATTTTTCGAGAATTTTGTAAATTTTACCCCGGTCTACCCCCCTAAAATCCAAAACCTTGCTTAACCCTGTCTAAACTGTATAGAGCAGTGACTAAACGGGTCGCTTGAATACAGTTATTATTTTTAGTCAAACATTTTTAATGAGTGATCATCACGTGATTCACTAAACATTTATAAAAAAAATATAATTTAAATATAATGTAATGTAAATCCAATAGAATAGTCTTTACTTAAAATGAATATCTTATTTAAAATTAATTTTTTAAAATTTTATTTTATTTGTATAATGAGAAAGACTATCTTTTATAAATATTTTATTATCAAATCCTTGTGTGAAAAGTAATTAATTTTAGTATTCTTTTATTATTTTTTAATAAGAAAATTTTATAAGACATAAAAATGATAAAAATAAAGAAAATGAGAAATTTTTATTTACAAAAGATTAGTTGAATACAAATAATAGTAAATAAAAATATGTTTAAATTAAACATTTCCTGAAAATGTATAAACTATGTAAAGTAAAAATTATTATAATAATAATAATTGTATAGAAAGCAAAATTAGTTGAATATGTTAGATGAGACCACATTTAATTGTAAAAATTAATTAATTATAATATACATTCAGTTTTAATAATAAGTTAAGCATTATGTTTTTTTTAATTATTATATAAATATATTATTGTATTTTACAATTATCGTAATATGCAAAAAATTTCAATCAAACTATTATTTTATAAATAACATAATTGCATGTAAATGATAAATATACTATCAAACTAACTACAGATTTTAATTGTGAAATCCTATTTATTATTTTTTATTTATATTTATAAATATATTGTTTATTTTTCATATAAGCATAATTAATATTGCAATTTATTTTATTTTTAAAATATTGGCATTGATATATTATAATTTATTATATTTTATTCTTATTGTTTAGTAAAACAATAATAGAAATTATTATATTATTACATATTACTTGTATATATCAATCATAACTAAACAATAAAATCTATTTCATATTATCTCAAAGATACACTTCCGTCAAGTGTTGTAACCAATTATATTTAATGTAATTTAAAAAACATTTTATTTATTTTTATTTTTTCTTCTCATTTTGAATGCAAATCCAAAAACCAAAAAATTCCTAAACATTTTGTGAAAACCGATGAAAAACCAAATATCAAAATCCAAAATCAAATGATACTCTTTTAAGACGAGAAGGAGTTGTGTGATAAATGTGTTCAAAAGGGCACAAATGGTTTAAAAGGTAGTGAATAGTCATTAATTAATATATATTTTTAATTTTGTATTTGTTTTTTTCATTTTATTGTTACTATCAGAGATGTACTAAATATTACTATAAATTATATATATAATTACTTTTATTTTATTTTTATAATTTTTAAAATTTATTTTATTTGGTTAAGTTAAAAATAGCAAATTTGTTGTTATTTTAATTTAATACGAGTATGATTTTTAGCATATAATTATATAAAGAATATATAATGAAATTATTATACTATAGTACATCTTTGATTATATTTATTAGTATTAAATGTTTAGATAATCTAATAATTTGATTAATTTGATAAATTTATATAAGTAATTGTAAATAATGGCAAACTAGACTTGAAATCAATTTTATTTTGTACAATTGATAGATTAATAATGATAATATAACTTACATTAATAATTAAAGTCCGCATAAATTATAAGCGCTGAGCAATGATATAACAATAGTTGCATCAAACAGATTAGTACTACTACTACTACTACTATTACTACTACTACTACTATGTGTACATAATCTCCTTTTTCCCAATTTTTGTTTATCATTTGCTATAAAGGGATCTCCAAGTGCTTCATTCACTATACAAGACATTTACGGTGTGAGTCAATATATAAAAACTAATATTTTTTATTATATTTTAATATTTACAGAATATGATATACAATGAGCTTTAGATGATATCCCAAACCTCCCATATTTTGTTTCACACATCAATATTTTTGATATACAGCTCAATTGGTCAACATATTGGCTGTAAATATTAAATTATGTATAAAATAATTTGTTAACTTCAGTAATATATAATATACGGTATTCATAATAATAACAAATAATAATAAGAAAATTATTTAATAAATAATTTTATATATTGTTTATGATGTGTTGATAAATGTCTTTTATAACAAAATTGATTTTAATTTAAATAATTTAATTGGTATTATTTCTAATATAATTAACAATATAAATTTCTATACTAAAATCTATAATTTAAAGTACTTATACAGTATATTCAGACTTAATCAATAAATTCAAAGCAAAACAAAAGTATTAAATATAAGTTTTTATTGAATTTATATATTGTCTGAAATATTAACTTCAAAAATGATAACAAAAGCTGTTGTTCCCCAACATTATATGTTTGCAGCTGAGAGACAATTGTATCTTAAATATTGTATTATAGACTATAATTTATAGTATATAAAAATATATAACTCCATAAATTGTATGTTTATTACTAAAAATATGTAATTTTATAAAAAAATATCTCTCACCTTAATGCTTATATATGTTTTATTGTATACATACTTATATTATAACAAATATTATAGTCTACAGACATTTTATTATGGATATCAAAGTTTTTTGTTGTTGTATTATTCATGAAATTTGCTTGATTTACAAATACATACACAATGTGTTAAAAAGCAAATTATTATTATTATTAATATTTTTCTGTAAAATTTTTACATTTTGGAGGTCATTATTAGACATTGAGTGCCGCGAAAGTATTTTTAATTTACCACACATTTCATTGGGACAGTCGTGTGAATACTATGACTAGTTTTAGACGTCAATGATATTTGAGGTGAATAGCACCCACATAATTTGAATTATGTAATTGTGCAATGTTAGTAGTGTTAGTCTTATTCATACAAATTTTGACTAAAATGCTAATTCAGTACTTGATTTAAATATTTTTAGTTTTTTAAATTATTTTATATTTTATTGTGTATTGCATTATATAATACATACATTGCATAGAAATAGCATATCAGTTAAACAGTATATCTTAACAAAATCTCCACATTTATTTGATTTAAAATTACAATAAATATTGTTATTTTATATATTTTTTTTAATTTTTAATGTTAGTAAAATATAAATTTAAGTAAATAATAATTTAATACTCTTTTCGGATAAAATAACTTCTTTAAATCTATTAAAGCATACATTTATTAATATTATTTAAATGTATAATAAATAATAAAATATTAATGTTTTTAAATTATTTCATTGATATAAAAATAAAATTATATATATTATTTGTTAAAATATTTTTATGGTAACAGATAAAGTTTATACGATAAAATTAGAAATAGGATTAATTGAAAAAATTACATTTAAATTTATTAGATAAAGTTTTATTTATAAAAATTGTATAAGATATGTTTGAAATTGTTATTTATATTAATTTTCTTAAACTTAACTTAAAATATGCTAAAATAAACAAAAATTTAAAATTCTGTTTTGTTTTTTAACTTACTGTTATAATAAATAGGCCTTAAAAATATACACAAAAATTATTATCATAATAGGAATTGTCTCAATAATAAAACTGATTACAAAAATTTCCAAATAAAAAAATTATCAAAAATTTTCAGAACAACTAATACTGTCTTAAACTTAATACATTTATTTAAAATAAATTTCTCAATAATTATGTGGAATTAAAATATACAGTTTTGCTTTCAACCAGTCTATTGATTTGGTGTTTATAAAAAACAAAACAAAAAACTAATTGAGAATTTTATTTCTTACAATATATTAAACTTGATTTTGTTTATTAAAATTTAATGTTAAACAATATTTTTAAAAAGATTTGTATTTATTATGAAAAATAAATTATATATTTTAGCTAGTGTTGTAAAAAAAGAGAAATTTATAAAATAATATAGAAATTTCTAGAGTTTCTAAAAGAAATTTCTATCTATGTGATCACCATGTTAATTTTTTCTATATTTGTTATCTGTTAACAATATATAGTTTTTACAAATAATAATTAAATATTATTATTATTTTAATTATTAAAGTAAAAAATTAATTAATTATATAATATAATATAATATATAATAAAATGAATCAAATTTTACAAAACTGATAATTATTAAATAATTATTTTATATATAGATATCCCATTTTATATAGTAGTGTACTATATAATATATTATTATATGTATAGTATTGTCTCATTAATATAGTATTACAATAGCTTTAGATTTTTATAAACTTTATATTTGCCCATCTCTAATTATAACACAAAAGTTAGCAAAAATATTTTATTATTAATATATAAATTTAAATTCAAAAGAAAACTTCATTTAAATTTTGAAGATATTTTATAATTTATAAACTATAATGTGAGATGTTATTTAAATTTAACGAATATTTTATATAACAAATTTTGTATTACTCCCAGAAATCTCTAAATCATTTTTTTATTATTAATTATAAAGATTCAAAAATAGCAATGAATTTAAATTTGAAAGTTAAGTGCTAAATATATGGTGTCAATTATATCTATATATTTTGATAACTTACTTTCATTAGATATCAATATTATAAATGTTTTATATTAGATATTTTAATTAATTCTTATATTTGAATTTAAATTTGAAAGTTTATATTTGTAATAACATGTATTATCCTATTATAAAATTATTATTATTTAATATAAATACAATTTAACTTATTATATATAATTAAAAATTAGTTAATTTGTTTAAAAAAACTATTGAAATATACAGTTATTCAATATGTAATATAATGTATATTGTATATTAAATGTTTTGTGAATCATATACTCTATTAGTTAATTTTTTAATTGTTATTTTAACTAATTATTTGTTATTTTATTTTATTAGTTCAAACCATTTGTTATTAAGCTAATGGTTAGAGTTTAATATTTTATTAACTTAAATATTATTAAAATTTAAATAGTATACAACATATTACTGTAGTACATATATTAACAGTATTTTATTATTAAAAATAAAGGAATTATCTTTATATAAAGTTATGATTTTTATGTGGGACTGCAATCAATCAAAAATCTAACTATAATAAAAATAAACATGATATATATAACAATATTTAAATTTTGTTTTTTATGTTAAACATTATTATTATTATTATTATTATTATTATTAACAATGTTTTGAACAGTTAGACCGAGATTTGCCACAAGAGATGATGGGAAACACCTTTTAAATGAGTTTCAGTATATTGTGTGCAAACATTGGTATCAATTATATCAAACATTTTTACAATATAATCATTGATTATTTTTTGTTACATACATAGGTTATAAGTTATATTAAGTCGTGACTTTAAAATATTAATTAGATAATTTTTAATCGGTAATTCAATAATATACAGTATATATAAAGCAAATTTTTATTATAAGTTATAGACAACAATTAATGTATTAAAATTAATTGTGGTATAGATTGCATAGTAACTTATAAATAAATTTATAATACAGTATATATATATATATATATACACTGTATATTATAAAGTAAAATAATAAAAAGAGTTGATTTAGGGAAAACACCCAAATGTGATCCCGGATTTTCAAAATTGAATAACAAATAGTATAACTTTTGTTGTTTTTTATTTTACAATTTATTTAAGTGATTTTTATTCAAATTGTGTATAACTATACTGTCCAATGCATTAATCATATAATGTTATTTGATGTAATGTTTATAAAATTAATACATTGTTGATTGAATGAAATCAATACATCAATTGTATAAACACATCACTTAGTAAATGTAATAGATTTATAAAACAATTGTAAGGATTTCATCAAATGACTTATATATTATTATATTTACACTAAAATGTTTATAATGTATTCAAATAACATTTTTTATAAATTTCATAACAAATGTGAATAAATATAAATATAAGTTACTTATATTTTTATAATTAAATTCAAAATAAGACCAGTTATAATTTAATATTGATATCTATGAATATGAATAAAGTAAATTATATAAAAACATAATTTGTCAGAATATTTTTTAAAATTTTTAAATTAATTTAAATATATAAACATTAGTTTAAATGGATTTGTCAGAAAATTTTACGTTAATTTAGAAATTGATAGTTTTTTGCATAATTAATACAACATATGAAAATATTTAACAAAATTTACATAATCATATATAACTTTTTAAAGATTTTTTAAAATAAAAATTATTTAATTTATACAACTCATTTGAATATGTATTAATTAAATATATTCTGTTCGTAGATTATTTAAAAGATAAATTTTATTATATGTTATCCTATTAATTGTGTAAAACATTGATTTCACAAACAATCTGCTTATTAAACATTAAAAAAATAAATACATTTACTTATAACTTATGAACATTCATGCTTTTTACATAAATTATAAATACTAGTTTTTTTTAATAATAATAATATTTTTAATCTTTTTATATATATTAAATAATAACACAATAGCTAAGCAAAAGTGAAAGCTTGTGCTTTCTGTTATGTAAAATAGTATATTTAAAAAGCTTTTTTTGTGTACAACTATTTATTATTAAATTTATTATTTGACTATTTTTGCATTTTACTTATTATATAATTTTTACATATATATAAAGATTCACCGGATTGTGTTGAATGTAAGGCTGTTCTCGAAGACCTCGAAAATATTGATTCGGATACCGATAGACACGGAATTATATGTAATTAAATATTTTATAATAATAGATATTTAAGGCATCATTAGATAGATTTATTAGATAACATAAAATTTACAAACATTTCTCGTGAGATATTTTTTGGAAATTATTTGCTATTTTTTGGAAAATAAATTTTAATTATTATTATTAGTCGTGAAGACCGCAGAGACAGAGATTGCCCGCGAGTATGGCATTAAAGACCTGCCGGCACTCATATATTTTGAACGACAGATTCCCAGCATTTATGAGGGAGACATGACTGCTGAAGAGGATGTCTTGCAATGGTTGGTCCAACAAAAAACTGAAGACACCATTGAGTCAGTTAACAGAGAATTGTTGGAACAATTGATTGAAACCACACAGTATTTGGTTGTCTTTTTCTGTATGTTTTAACTAAATAAATAGGATTTGAAGTTTATATTATCTAATATAATAATATCAGATAAGCCCAGTTGTAGAGCATGTGATATAGTATTGGATGAATTGGAAAATATTGACGACGACTGTGAGATATATGGTATCCATTTTGTCAAAATACAAGACATACCATTAGCCAAACGGTATGGCATTAAAACATATCCGGCACTTATATATTTCAGAAATGGAAATCCACTCATCTATGATGGTATGAAAAGTAATTGATTAAAAACTTAACTTTATATTTAAACAATTATAAAAAAGTGTGATTTTATATTTCAGATATATTTTTAATTTTAAAAAATAATTGACAAAATCTATTGTTTGTATTTCTTATGATTGTTGTACTGGTATTCAACCATTAGGTGATCTGAGAAATGAAGAGGCAGTTCTTGATTGGCTTATAGATGATGACAACCGAGAGTTGGCCGACGAGATAGAGGACGTCAACTCAAGAATGTTAGAGAAACTGATCGATGATTCGCCATTTCTTGCCGTTCTCTTCTATGACAGTGATTGCGATGATTGCGAGGAAGTCCTCAAAGAACTAGAGGTATAATTATATTCATGTGAATCATTTGATTTTTATTTAATACATATATTTCATTTCAATTTTCATTATCTCATTTTAAAGTATAAAATAATTTATTTTTATCATATTTTTAGCCTTTATTATCATAGATTCACTATTTTTATTAGTATAATATATTTAATATTTAATTTAATTAATTAAATTTATTTGGAAGCCGTAACCATAAAATTTATTTTTATTTAATTTATTTTTTGTTAATTTATTTTTTGTTAATAACGGGAAAACAGACAAAATATAGGAATAACTAAAAATTTATATAATTTAATATTTACAAATTGTTTTCATTTTTACAAAATATATATATATTATAAATACCTTTAGATCGTAATTCATTTTTTATTTTTAGTTTTTCAATTTAGTTTTGCGCATAATTTTTTTTTATAGTTTTACATATAAACCACAATATAAACTAACAGAGAAAGTAATTTATTATGATATATTGATATTATATATGAATTATTTGTGAAAAACAACAAATAACAAAAACAATAAAATGATAAATAAGTTGATAGCAGCTTAACATATACTGTAGTAAAAGTAAAGCTATAGTTGCAAAATATTATTAATATTAATTAGTTTTTGTTTAGATATAAAAGCATAACCACAAAAAGTCAGTTATATTTTGTATAAATAGTGCGCTGGACTTGACATTCACTGTAAAACTATTAATCTTTTATTAAGAAAAAATAATAAAACTAAAAACTTAATGCATTTCTATAGTGTTAGAGCCAAACATTAACTGTAATGCTAGTGAACACATTATTTTTCAAATAAAAAATATTTGAATTTATTTACATATAATTTTAATATAATTTTATACACTTTTTATTATTTGTTTTGATAGTTTTTTATTGTAGTTCAATGCACTTTAAGACCCATTAAGTATATCACATGTTTTCCTATCAATCATTTAAGAAAATTAAATGATTTATGATTTTAGTTGAAAAAAATATAATAAAACAATGCTTTTATGTTTATATCATACTAATTAAAACATAAATTTAATGCATTGTTTGTTTTGTGCCATTAAATTATGTATTATATATTATATTATAAAAGCTAATATATGATTGTTTTGATTTAATTGATGCTTTAATATCGACCACTACTACCACTACTACTACTACTACTACTACTACTACTACTACTACTACTGGTTGTTATCGACCAAACGTGCAGAACATTGACGACGACGCCGACCTTTTTGGCATTGATTTCGTTAAAGGTATTATTCATCTATTTTATTGATTTCACTTAATTGTCTAATATATCTACATATTATACATATTTATGTAATATTTATAACTATTTTTTGAAAATACATTATTCGTGTAGAAAAAAATAAAAAACAAAATTTTCACACAAAACAAAATACTATTAAAATTACAGTACAGTAGTTACATATACAGTATATGATAGTAATTTGTAAGACAAGTGCATTGTTAATGGTTTGCATGCTTTATAAACCCTTACTTTACTTTATATTATATGTAATTATATGTACTTAAGATATATTCTAAATACTATATAATTATTCAGTGCATTGATTTTATTATAGATTTGGCATTTAATAATTGATTTTTACATTTAAGATAGCATTCATAGATGACAAATATTTAAATGATGAAATATATTTGTTTAGTTTTTTATTTGTGTTAACAAAATAAATCATTAAGATTATATTTCCTTATTGTTTAATATTTATTTGACTTTCATAAGACTATTTAATTTAGTATGTGTACCGGTATATAGTATATAGTTGTTATGTTACCAATGTTTTCTGTTTAGTGATAATTAATAAAGTATTATTTTTATATTATTTTTTATATAAAATGATATATAACTTTAGTACTGGAAAGTTAGTAGATTGATAATTTTATTATGAAATTTTAAATACACTCACTTACACAACAAGTATTTCAAAATAACATTTGTAAGTAAAAGTAGACTTTTCACTAAATAGCAAACACTGGTGTTTAGTGTGTCATCAAAAGAAAGTAATGATAAATAATATTCATATTAATAATAATAACATTATACTAATGAATAAACAATTGTTGTATAACTTGATTGTTAGTAAATGATGTGAAGGCGGCCCACAAGTATAACGTCCATACGTTCCCAACTCTGGCATACTTTAGGAAACAGAGTCCCATCTTATATGACGGCGATCTTTTGGATGAGGAGAAAGTCCTCAAATGGCTGACTAGTAATGATGTCTTTGAGATCAAGGATGAGATTGAAGAAGTTAACAGAAAAATGTTGGATAAACTTCTTAATGATAATGACTTTGTGTCCGTCTATTTCTGTGAGTCATATCCATCATCTCATAATAGTTTTGTTAAATTGATTTTTTTATTCACTCATTCAAACATAAATTATTCAAATATATACTTAACAATCAGCATATCATACATTATAATAATTACTATTTGTTGTTAGGATAGCATTTTGCATACATGTAATTGTAATGTTATTTAGAAGTAAATTTTAAAATATTAATTAAAATATTATAACATTCTAACATATTTCTTAAATTGTTATAAAATTTAATTAACTATTTTTGCATTTTAAAAATTGTGATTAAGATTTTGTTAATAATAAAAATTAACAATAATTTGATTCTTAAAAATAATATTATTTTAGATGAAAAGGATTGTTATGATTGTGAAGAAGTATTGCATGAGTTGGAGCACATCGACGATGAGGCCGACGAATTAGATATAATGTTTGTTAAAATACGTGACACGCGTTATGCGCGTAAATACGGGGTCAGTGAAGTACCCGCATTGGTGTTGTTTAGGAAAAAATTTCCTGCAATTTATAGAGGTATATTTTTATTATTTATTTATAAATATATACTAAATTTCATATATATATATTTAATGGCATGACAGTATTACATTTTTATAGTTTTTATATTATAGGTAAGTATATACTATTGTTATTGTATAACCAGAAACAGCAAAATAAATGGTCGATATTTTGATATTTGATGAAATTTGACATCAAATTATAAAAATGTGAGAAATATTTAGCACTAGTAGTTCTGAGCAATCATTTAGTTAGACATCAAAAGATAATAATAATTACTACTATTTGATTGCAATGATTGTTGCATTGCTGTCACTGTTCTTCAACCGATAAATATTAGGTTTTATATCCTTTAAATGATTAGATGTTTCTCACAAATCACTTCAGTATTAGATAACATTTGAAAATTATAGAAAAACACTGTAAAAATCTCACGAAATTTTGAAATGAGACGAAAAAAAGTGTAAATTTATTTTAATGATATTTTTGTGACAAAATTTTTATTACACACAATATATTCAGTTAATAACAGGTTTTTATGAATTTCCAACAAAAAATTTACTAATCCATAACTATTGTATATTTCATATAAATAAATAAGTTTTTATTGTTTTATATAATATAACAATAGACAAAAATAAACTAACTGTTGAGCCGTTAAGACTATTATTTACCATATAATTGATTGACAGGTGATCTCATGAAGGAGGATGAGGTGCTCGAGTGGTTGAGGAAGAACAGGTACCGACACCCGGAGCTTAATTTGTTTATGTATGCATTGGCTTCAATTACGGGTGCATTCATTTTCTATACTCTGTTCCTAATATTTTGCATTAAGGCACCGAAAAATGCCAAAAAAGACTAACAAATGTCGTCAAAAGTCATCGTCATTACAATCAACAACACAATTGACATCAAATAATTAATAAATCAACTCAAATGTGGCTAAACTATTCACCAAATAAAGTAAATGTTTAAATTTTGGCCCATTATTGCTCACTTTAAGTATATATATATTACAACAGATATTGTAATTATTATTATTGTTGTTAATGCATTATTAATAATAAAGATAAAAATTACTTTTTTGAAATTTATATTTTGAACATTTAATTTTTTAATTGATTTTGATTTTAAAACTATTCAATATTTAAATTTACATTAAAATTATTTTTTATTTTATTGGTAATTTATTTTATTAGTTCACTAAATTAATTTTGTGACTATCATTTATACAGTCAAAAATAGTATCCATCATGTGTGGTAAAAATGCTACTTTAATTAATAATAGCATTAATTTATTTATAACTCATTAAAGTTTTTAAAAGATATAAATTACATATTTAGCATTATTTAGCATTATTTAGCAATTTCCAGTCATTCATTACAAACCTATTTATATAGGGCTTGAAATATTCAAACTTTATAATTACTGTAATATTAAATTATGTATTTATATACTGTATAATTATTATGACTTTCAACAAATTATAATCTAATAAAAATTATGTTATTATATATCATAATTATGACGACATCAAAACAATTTGATTTTATTAATGTTTTAATAATTTTAAATTATTAAAAGTAAAAACATTAAATTATATTTTATAACTATTTAAGTGAAACTAATGTCAGACAGATTTTATGACATCACGACTTTAAAATAATAATACATTTTGTCATAAATATAATTTATTTTCACGAATTCCTGAAAGGAGTCCGTATATGCATTCTAAAAGTCTGTCGGTCGGTCTGTCTGTCTGTCTGTCTGTCTGTCTGTCTGTCTGTCTGTCTGTCTGTCTGTCTGTCTGTCTGTCCCATATAGGTTAGTGGTTCGAATCCAGACTCTGCTACAAATTTTTTTTTGATTTATTTTATTTTATTTTTTGATAAAGCATCAAAAATGAGCTATGGGATAAGTATTGAAATTTTGATATTTCATCAGGAACATAGAGATAATGGCGTCTAAAAATTAAAAAATATATTTTTTGATTTTTAAATTTAGATTTGTGTAAAGCATCAAAAATGAAGTATAAGAAATATGCATTTAAATTTTTATCTCCAAGAACTACGAGAAAATGACAGCTAAATTTTTAATTTTGTCATACTGAATCATTTGATACCCTACATGATTATAGTTGAGATAATTTTGGTATTCTGAACTATCTATATTTCACATTACTATAGTTGATTTTATTTTGTCATACTGAATTTAATTTTTAATTAGGATTTAGGAGTTCGTATGGAAATGCTTTCTAGCATTCTCAACTGGTTTATTAATCAATTGTTTCTTTAGATTACAAGACTTTAAATGCAGTAAATACTGTGTATTATATAATAAATTATATTAATTATTTGTTCTCTGTATTTGATATTTATATTATATATTATTGTAAAAATATGGTTTAAAATTAGAGTTCTGCTAATAATAAAAATTTTTAAAAATTTTAATTAAAAACTTATAATATCTAAAATTTTAATAAGCATTATTTTTCTTGAATTTAGTTTATTAATTTAATTTTAGTGATTATAAAGTTAATTAGTTAAATTGAAAATTTTTGTTTTTTAATTTAATTTATATTAATATAATTTTGATGAAGTATGTATTAACTAAATTATATTCAATAACAAAAATCATTTTTCAATTGTTTATACTGTATTTATTTTTGTATAATTATATTGTTATTTCTATATTAAATTTTTATAATAAGTCAATGTTTAATAAACAAATGAATATTAAAAATACAATAATAGTTACTATTATTATATGTATTTAATGATCATATATTGTGTTTTGATTTTTCTTATTTTTCATAATTATTTCCAGATATATTGTATTATACAATATAATACCATATAATGTATAACTTATAAATCTAACAAATTTTGTTGAACTTCGCTTATGTAATGTACGTAATCTCAATTCACTGTATGTCTGTATGTGTCTCAGGTTTTTCATATTTGATGAATAAGTAAAATAGGATTATTTGAAAAAATAATAATAACTTATCTTTCAAAGAAATGGACAAAAACAGACAAAATTTTAATATAGAAATTTCTTGATATTTAACAATATGTAAATTAAATTTTAAATTAAAGAAAATAAGACTATTAAATACTCAATTTTTATAAATTAATAAATATTACTATTACTAATAATATATACAGTAGTATATATTTTTTTATAATTGTTACATCTTAAATTTAAGTCTAAATTTTTAATACATATAATTTATGATTTTAAAATAAAATGATTCAGTATTGAATTAATTTTTATATCTAAATTTAAAAAGTTTAGAAAATTGGTTCAATCAAATAACAATATTAAATTATTTGATTTTTAAATCACATGTTTGAAAGCAATTATTATTGATATTTTTGAATTGAAAATATAAATATTAGATATTATTATTATATACAAAATTATACAATTGAATTGCGTGTATATATTTGTATAGATGTGTTTGTGATGCATGTATTTTATAGTTTAAAAAATATAAATATTGTTCAGTATATTAAATGACAAAAATACTATATCTTAAGTATATACTGTACTATTAATATATTTATTTTATGTATGCTATTTGTAAGCAATATTTAGCAATTAAATAAAAAATTTTAATAATTAAAGATCAAAATTTAACTTAAATTTTATATAGTAAATAATTAATTCATTATTTTCAATAATAATAAATTTTATAAGAGTAAAATCCTTGTATTAACTAAACAAAGCAATACATTTGGGCGATATTTACATTGACACCCATTTTTAGGTCTATATCGTCTCCTACATAATCACTATATATAATATTAATAATATAATAAATAGCTATACATTATACTGTACACTAAATATAAGGTTATATTTGATTTACAAATATCACATATTGTATCACAAATATGAACCAACAACTATGTTATTGTGAGGTAAAACATTAAAACTTTTTATCATATGGTAAATATAATTTTTTTTTATTGATTGTCAGATATAAATGTATTCATATATAGTCACCAACAGTTTTCATTGTTTATTTTTAAAATATACTTATTTATAATAATCAAACAAATAAATAGTTTCATTGTTTGCCATCAACTTTATTCTCATAAATAATTTCAAAACAAACGTTTCATACATATTTTTTTTGTATATTATGTGCCAAACAACTTGATATTATTTTTTATTAGATAAAACACAAAACCTTTCAAACAATAATAATAGTTGATATAAAAAATATCACTTTGATTGATGTCTACCTAATTGTATATATTTGGACAAATGTTTGCCACCCTTTCATTATAGGGGTTCATCACTTCAAATATCATTTGCTACTGAAATCTGTAAACAATGGGATAAACACACAACTGCTTGAGTGTTGAGATTTCTAAATAAAATTATTTTAATCGCTTCAACAAATAAAACAACAATATAACTATAAGTTTTGCTTAAAGTCATATTATATAAGATTGTATATATACTGTATATAACTTATTACAGTATATTATAATATATTAACAGTAATTTTTATTTTAAATATTATATACAGTTAGTTATGTTCATAATATTTATATAATACAATGTCACTATAATTAAATTGATTAATAAAACTGTTTATTTATATAAATCTTATATAAATATATTTTATAATTCTTAAAATAATACATTATTATTATTTGTGTTAAACTTGTATATCTTTTTAGATGATTGAGTACTAAGTTGTAAGTACTAAGTTTAGTTAACAATAATGTTTAGAAAGTAATTTTTATAAAAATTTACATAAAATTATATAAATGTTTACAAATTAAACTTGACCAAATAACATTATTTTGCTTTTGTAACTATCATATAATAATAATATAATTATACGATATTATTATGTTTACGTATTATTTTTGAAGGATAATAATGTGAAGTAATTGAAGAGCATTTAGTATATGTTAGCACAGGTATCCTTTTTTAATGATAGTTTTGAAGAGTTTATTTAGTGTTGACTACCCTTTCCCTGGTGAACAAACATTGACAGTAAATAAAAACTAAAAATTATTCAATGCTATGTTATGTTATAACTTTACTATACCTTATTGTATGTGTAAAAAACTTGAAAGTAAAAAGATATACAATTCACTGATTTTATGTGACTTTTCCATTTATTGTCTCTCATAACACTATATTATTTGTTTGTTTCTTAGTTTAAAAGGACTGGTAGGTAAAAATTTAAAGATTATCTCCTATTTTACGTGACAAATCTTAAACATTATTATAAACTATATCTGCAGTACAGCAAACACATAAACTTTTTTTTTATTTTTTACAAGTCGTTGAACTTCAATGAAAAAGCTATAGAAAATTGCTTTTAAGTAAAAGAGTGAAAATAAAACATCGATTGTGAAGATCTTTGTATAAAAAAATATGCAAACATTTAGTTTTTAAAACTATTTAATCATAATTGTTGTAATCAGTAACTCTTTACTTTGCAATTTTTTTTAATCTTACAGATATTTGTTTGTTATTAACAACAGTGACAAAATAAATGTTAACTATTTATTTGTATATATTTACAAAATATTAATTATAAAATTCAAAAATTACTCCTTTATATCACATGCATTGTCATACAACAGTTGATATCAAATAAAGAATATACTGTATTATACTTTTTAGTGTTATTTCCATATCTATTATACAATTAAATTTTTATGTCTCTATTAAAATAAATAAAGTTATGAGTAAAATACAATTATTTTCAAGTATCTTAAAAATTAGCAAATGTAACATATTTGTTATTTTAATATTAAGGATCGTATAATAATTTGATATCACTGTTATGCAGTATTATGAACTAAAGTTAGATACATTAAATTAGATGAAGTGTAAAATTAATAAAATAAAATTTATGTAAAAATTTAAAAGTTATTTTAAGTTTTGTGTAAAATATCTGTAAATTAATTTTTTAAAAGATAAACTTCATGTATAATAAAGATTCAAATATTACATCACAGCATTACAAGCAATAAAACCATAAAAATTTAATTATACTTTATTACACTGTTTTTATATTCATCTCAAAGTAATTTCAAAGTTTTGTATACGAATGCATTATATGTTTAGTAAAAGCCATAAACAAAAAAACTTGTTTTCAATTACTTTTATTTAAATCAATACAATTGTAAAATTTTAAAATAAATTGATTTAATAATTTTTTCAATAAAATAATTTTATATATAACTCAAATGTAGGCATTTAGTTTGAAATAAATTATATATTTTTATCTAACTTTACTCTTTGAAAGAATCAAATAATTTTATTTATTTTATAATAATGTAACAAAAACAATAATTTATTTAAAATATTACCCAGGTATTTACTATAGTGTAGGTATATTTTGCAATGTTCAGCTTTTCTATATTTTATTGACTATTTTATTACAGTCAAACAAACACTTTAATACATTTACTGTATTATATAATATTATACTATAATATTGCAACCAATTATATAATATGATGAATAAATTTTACATCCAATATACTTTTCATTTAAAAATAACATATATTTTGATAGTCAATGATTGTCAGATCTACTCATTTTATTTATTCAATTAGTATATGATTTTGTATATATGATTACAATACAGTATATTTTATATATATATATATATAACATAATCTGATTTAATAACATTTTAGTTCATTAGATAAAGGAGTAGTTTTCAACAACAAAAAACATTTTATATTATACCATATACTGTATGTACTGTACATAATTTGCTTTGATTATATAGCTAAAACATAATATTATTGCACAGTAAAATATAAATTATATTAAAGGTATATTTTCAATCCATAGAGATTTATTTTAATAGTAAAATTATTGAAATATTTTGGTAGAAAATTATATACCTTATATACTGTACAATATCTTTCAAATAATCAAACAATAATAATATAAAATTATGTTTATTTTTAAAAATAATATAAATTGTATAGCATTAAAGTTGATGTATTCATAAATATTTTCGAGATTTAATGTAAATTTAAGTAATAAAATATTTATTTAAGAGTTATTTTTTTAAATTATCAAAATTGTGAATCTTTTAGTTGAGATGAAGTCGAAGTGAATTAAAGTAAAAGAGAGAAATAAATAAATAAAGAAAAGAGAGAGAGAGAGAGAGAGAGAGAGAGAGAGAGCTAAAATTTTGAGACATTAAAATTTTAGAGATGAGTGTAAAGACCTCTTTCATAATCTCTCTCTCTCTCTCTCTCTCTCTCTCTATATATATATATATATATATATATATATATATCTCAAAAAACCCTTTCAACAAAACAAATACAATTTATTTCAAAACTTMGAAAAAATCTTTACTGTATATAAAGTGAATGCTTTTTTACTTCTAGTAAATTGCTTTCTAATTATTCCAAATTATAGTCTATTAAAGCAAAATATAAAATGAAAGTAATTTTTATGAATATTGCATTTAAAATAGCTTATTATGCATATGCTCTACAATATTAGTATAATATTTAGACTGTTTTTATATTACAAAATATTGTATCAAAATGCCTATTGATGTAATGATTAGTGTATATTAAAATAACATAAACTCTATAAACTTATGTGTAAAATAAGTTTACAAATTGCTTTATAATATGATGTTAATATTATTAGTTACAGTAGTACATTTTAATGATTTGTACTGTATATTGTAATATTACTTAAATTTTTAAATAAAATCATTAAATGAATTTAAAAATTTCTAATAAATTCTTAGAAAATTTCTAAAGATTATATTTCTATAGAAATTTAGATTTCTCACTGTATTAAAAGATTTCCATATATTAATATAACAATTATTGTAATTCTGTATTATATATTCATTATATAAACTTACATTACACTACAATACAAATAAAATTTCAATATATTGATATAACTTTTAACCAATCTATAAATGGCACCACCACTTTTATCCCTATCCATATACAGTATAAACTAATGTATTACTTAACACTCGCTCTCTTACCTATTACCTGACCTATAAAATATGTCCTGTCTGAATATAAAATATATTAATTATTTTTAATGTAAGATTTTGCAAAATTTTATCATTAATTAAATAATTTTTAATTAAATTTGATAATAAAAAAATAAAAACCTACAAAAATTAATTTTAAAATAGTTGACAGATATTAATTTAGTAGATTTAATATAATATTTTACTTAATTAAGTCATTTATTATTAATTATTAAATAGTTATTTTACTATATAATATTTAGTTATTTCTAAATTATATTTAAACTAAATTAATTACAAAATAACAAAAATTAGCCACATTAATATGGCAATACAATAGAATTTTTTAGAAACATTGTAGAAATTTTTTTTTGCAACTCTAATAACAAAATACTGAATAAAGTATTTAAATATAAATTATACTTATAATTGTTATTTAAGTAAAACTTTATTTATTTAACTATAAGTTACTTGAAATAAATGAATTATTAATTAGTTTGTAATTTACTTTTAAAATTGTTTAATACATAACATTAAACTTTATTATAGCCGATATCAAAAATATCTATAATTTTGTTAACAATAATACATTGCATGTCTTACGATATAAAATTACTTTTGAATATGTTTTTATAAACGAAAATTTTCTGTTTATAAAAAATATTCAAATGACACGATATATTGTGCAATATATACTGGTTTATAGTAATAATAATAAGTATTATTTTATTGACAAAAAATAATGCTATAGTATTAGCGAAATGATTGTTTGTGTTTTCACTATTTTGTTGTCAAATTTGGTTTTAAAGTTGTATATCAAATGATAGATAATTTTTGGAAATGAAAATATAGAGAAAAAACATAAATCAAAGAAAGTGTTTGTTGTCTATGAAATGTAGTGTAAAAATGATTGCATTCACATTTGAATCAGTTTTACAAAACAAGTTTGACTTTTATAGGTTCAGTATTAGCCTAATAAATGCCATATCATAAACACAATACTACCCAATACTACCCAATACTACCCAATACTACCCAATACTACCCAATACTACTACTAATAATAATGAATAAAATATATATTTTAGATTTAAATTAATTTTGTTTATAAACTTATTAAATTAAATTTTATAATATAAATTATCATAAAATATACTGTATTTATATCATGAAATTGTTTAAATTAATTTTTTCAAAGAAGAGACAACTGAGTACCCACTCTAGTGTCAGACCAGTGATCAGTCAACATCCCTGTGCTGTGTATTACAACATCCCTGTGCTGTGTATTTGCAAATTGCATTCAAATTCAGGTGAATGTAGTGTTTATGAGACGGCATGCGCTGTATAGTCATAACTTAGGTATACTGTATACATACGCAATGCATAAACAACAAGAGAGCCATACAAGTGATAGTACAGTAGTAATCTGTATGAAGGACTGGTAGGTTCTCACAGCACACGACTGTTTAGTATAGCATTCAATTGGTATCAAAGACTCGCTGTTTTCCTCATCATTCAGTAGTTGTGTTGTTTGCCTACAGTGTGTAGCGTTAAGTCAGTACTCAATGTATGCTATAATGCAATGCATTTGAAATCTATTATGAAATGGCGTTAATGTAGTGACAAACTAACCGATCATACGATAAATCAGTGTTTGTCTGACCATATGTTGACACAAATATCTTCGTAACGGACACATCGGGTCGTGACAATTGTCCGACAATATTGGACACTGTTTTATGGCTAATATTAAAGAGTGATAAACAATGTTGAGCTGATATACAGAGGAGTGCTATTGAAAGACAACAAAACCGATGACCACATCAAGCGGTGGTCGACCGTTACCTGAACGGCCATTATTGATGCGTTCAGTGGTGACACCCAATGGTGGCGTGGCTTACATGTCGTCCACGAGTTGGTCACTGTGTCGGCCTAACTGTTATAAAATATTGTTGGCCATAGTCTTAGTGTTCCTATTAATGCAATTTACGGCCAATTTTGTGGCCTTTCGGCACAAGTTTAACATCAGTCAAGTATTGGCCGCCAACTCGGGAGCTCAATGGTCACAACTGTCGTTAATGGACAACATTGAAGGTCATCATCTGAACCAACATTTAGTTCAACCAAATAATGTCCATAACGTGTTGGCCACTAATAGGACAATATATGGGACTTATTTTAATTATAGTATTATTAATAATAATTTATTAAATAATAATAGTTTTAAAAATAGTGATCAATCAGTGAATGCCATTAAAATGACAGACAATGTGTCTGCCAGTGCCTCATCTGCGGACATGTCCTCCGATACGGTTGTCGACCCGATTGTTGACTTCATTAACAATACATTATTGACATCAAAAAGTACTTCTAGTCTGCCGTTGTGTCCATTAGTTCCGCCAAAACTTGGTATTGATTTTTGTAGTTATTTTTACATTAAATATATTATTTTTATTAATTATTTAGCATTTTAGTTATTTTTTTGTTTAATGTACTAAAAAATATTTACAATTTAAATTGAAATTATTTAGTATTACGTGTTTACAGTATATGTCTGAATAGTTTGTGTGTGTCCTACAGTACAACATACCTGTTCCCTAAGCTATGCCCTACTAAAAGCATAATTGAGTAATTAATTTAAAAATTATCGATAAGTTTTAGCTAAAATATTTTTTGTTGACAATATAATTGCAATATTACTAAAATATACATTGTTTTGATGAAAAAATATTAACAAATATCTAACAATAAGTTTTTAAAATTGTTTGTCATTAAAAATTTACTCATTTAATAATTATATTGCATTAAAATTTAGACGTCAACTATTAGTTTAGGGTATAATTTGCGAAACTATCAAATATGACAAGTATTTCAATACATATTGAAGCGTCTATTAATTAGACACTGTATTATTATTATTATTATTATTATTATTATTAAAACGATATTAGCATAAAATAATTTTTATTATATAAAATCTAACTCAAAGAAAATTAAAATAATTTGCATTTTATTACTCGCCGATAGTTTAAAACTTTTATTTTGTCTAAATTTAATGCTATTTTTAGTTGATTTAAATACAGAAGTAATTTTTTATAGTCTTGTATTGTAACATCTGATACCCATTTCTATGAAAACTAATAATTATTTCAATATATAAATGTATTGTAAATACTGTGAACTAAAATGAGAGCACTTTAATAGTCCCGAAGCTATTAATAAACAAGAGATCCTTCTTTACATTGATTTATCGGCCAATTTTGGCAATCAATGTATGTATATATATATATACTGAATATAGTATTTAAAATTATATAATTAAAATACATACCTTAAAAATATTTTTGTTGACTGTAAATACATATTGAATTTTATTTAAACTAAATAGTTTTTGTTATCAATTAAATTGGATGTTAAAGTAACTGCAATGCTCTCTAAAGATTCATAAATATCACAATTTCTATTCACATTTAATGAGGTTATAGTGTTGTTGTATTTCTTTTCATACAGTTTTTTATATACAGTATATTATCTCTTAAAGTAGTTTATTATAATCTAAATACAAATGTAAAAAATACAACACAAATAACATTGAATGGTGTTATTTTGGACACAACAGGACCCCAATTATGTCTATTATCAATATTTTTACTTTATTTGATGCCATCACTCAATCTTTATCCCACTTTCATTATTTTAAGTTATTGTATTTCTCATGTATTTATTGATTACAATATATGGATAATCTAACAATTGATTAGTTATAATTACGGTACTATGTATATAGTTTAGTACTTTTAAAAAATTGGTTTAATAAAATTATTCAATGACCTCAACCACATTAATATAACTGTTTTCATTATTATAATTTAGTTTAAATGAGTTTTTAGGTAAACATTTTAAGGTTATTTTGTTATATATTTAAAAAATAATATAAAACATAGCGTTGAAACTTTAATTAAATTTTGATAGAAATATACTTATAATGAGATTTTGTTTTATTTTGAAAATATAGAAAATAGTATATAAAAACAATGTTGTCATGTAACAAGGTTAACTTATTTATATTGATTTTTATTTTACAAATTATTACATTTATTGCTTTTATCATAATTAGTAAATAATATTAAGTTTTAAAATCATTTGTTGAATAGTTGGTCGATTAAAAGTGATGAAAGAGAGTCCATTGTTTGAAAAGTTGGAGGAAATGATGTCGGAGTTGGAATCGGGAGGTCGGTATCGACCACCTGATTGTCAATCGCGACACAAAATGGCAATTGTTATACCATATCGTGATCGTGAAGAACATCTCAGAACATTCCTATATAATATACATCCCATTCTTGAAAGACAACAACTCGATTACGGCATATATATTGTTGAAGAGGTATTTGTTTTATTAATTGTATTAAACAATTGTTTCAATAATCAATTTTAACTATAGTATTAATAATTTAATCTTTATTCAATATATTTATAATATGTGTCATATTATTTGTATTATTAGTTTTCAAAACTATTAAAAGGAGTCCATTGTGTTATTATTTTTAGTTATATCTGTACATTAAGTAAATACTTATATACTGTATATATCCATAATGTATTTTGTTTCCTATTAAAATTTATTAATATTATGATTTAAGTGTAACTTTATATTAACTTTATTTATTGCCAAATTTAATACTGTATGAGTAATGTTTATATTTAAAAGTGACTAAAAACATATCAATATTAAACTTATAAATATGCTATTATTATGTTATGATTATGATTTCATGTTTAACTGAACGAGATTTTGATTGAATGAAATTAGTTTTATAGCTAACAAAATAAATTTATACAATAGACAAACGATTATATGATAGGTTTTATTATGTATAAGCCTATGATTGATGCAAAATATAATAATTAATTGTTATATCTTTTTTCATTTACATCCTTTCTGTCCATTGCTACACCCAATGACTGACTACCTGTCCATATAAAACATTATATTTAGGTTGGAAACGGCAAATTCAATCGGGCAAAGCTTATGAACGTTGGATTTTTAGAAGCTCTTAAACAATACGACTACCAGTGCTTTATATTCCATGACGTGGACCTGATTCCTGAAGATGATAGAAATCTATATACATGTCCAGAACAACCCAGACATATGTCGGTGGCTATCGATAAATTTAACTATAGGTACTTTTTTAATTTGTATATACAATAATTATTGTTGTATTAGATTTAATAATTATTGTTTATCATAGACTTCCTTATAAAGATCTATTCGGTGGTGTCAGTGCTCTTACAACTGAGCAATTCAAGAGAATTAATGGCTTCTCCAACGAGTTTTGGGGGTGGGGTGGAGAGGATGACGATATGTAAGTTAAATAATATAATACACTTATTACAGTATTTTTTAACAATTAATTGTCAATTTACCTGAAAGTTGATTTTGTTTTTGTAACCTAAAATAATAATAAAGTTTAACTTTGATTATGAAAAACAGGTCCAATCGAGTCCGATATTACGGTTATAGGATAACTAGATATTCGGCAAACATTGCCAGATATAAAATGCTCAAACATAAAGGAGACACACCTAATCCCGATCGGTAAGTGTCGGCTCTTATAGTGACCTCATTTGATTATTTTACTTATTTAGTATTTGTGTTAAAATATAAATTATCTATTTTTAACAGATATAAGAAGTTATATAGTGGTAAAAGGCGTTATAAGACAGACGGCATAAATAATATTAAGTACAAAGTGGTCGACACAGTCTTCAAAAGACTCTACACATGGATTCTCGTTGATCTGCTCTCGCCTTAAACACTACCTTAATATATGACATGTTATTAATTTAATTGATTCGCAATATTTATTAATTTAGTTAAATTTATTTATATTACCAACAGTTATACATTATAATCCATTTTAAATATAGATTTTAATTTTCATAGTTAAGTAATCGAAATGATTGGTAACATTTAGCACTCATATGGTCATATATATATATATACTGTATATATATATATAACTACCGTAAATGTTAAATATTTTATTATTCAAATGTATTTTATTATTTTATATAAGTTAATTGAAATATAAGAAATTAATTGAGTCACAAGTAAATTATGTGAGATATGGTTAGATTATTTCATCAAATTAATATTAAATTTAGTTAATAATCGACTAAATAGAGATTTTAGCAATTTTTTGTTTGTTTAAATAACAATGAAATTAATTCCCATCAGTCTTATCCTTGAATTGTTTTATAACACAAGTCATTGTAAATGTATTACCATTAAAAGTGTCCTTAATTTTACACACAATTTGTTAAAGAGAATGATTGAAAATATATATATATTTATAATTTTCAATATAATTCTTGTTTAAGTGATAAATAAATTTTATTTTAATCTTATTATGAATTTTTAAAAATTGTATTATGATTACAGTCACACAAATATACTAATTATTCATTGAGACGATATAATAATAATAGAGTATATGAATACATCCATGAATAATATATTTTATTTATAAAAATTAATTTGAATTAATATTATTAACAATAAGTGTCTGTACGGCGACACCGATTTGAAGTTCTATAGCATTCAGCTCTTCTTTAAGCACTTCTTTGGCTTTTTTAGCCACAATTAGTGGCGAAGAATCAGTCATTTGGTTGCCGTATAATTCCATCTCTTGTTTCATGCTATCAATCATTTGCGTCACTTCAGCTAATTGTGAGCTCTTCTCGACGACACCAGAGCTCACCAAAGAGTAATCATCTCTTAGTTTGGAGACTTTGCTGCGAACCGACACAAATTCTTCGATGACATCTTCTAATTGTTGTTTTAAATACTTTTCTCGTGAATTAACTTTTTCTTCGTTTGTTCTCAAATCATACAAAAGAGTATCAATTGAACCAAATGTTTGATCGCAATATATCTTCATTTGTTTATAATTAGTCGAAAGTAAGTTGTAATGAGTTCTCCACTCGTTGTCCATATTTTTTCGGTCGATGCGAATCCTAAGTTGTGGTAAAACTCTTTCGACTTCAACTTTCCATTCATTCAAATCCATATCCGACTTCATTATAGAAACGTCTTGTATATCACCTCTAATATCGTCCAATTCTTCTTCTTTAATCTCAAGTTTGTCTCCTTCGAGATTGTAATCATAGTCTTCGTCCACCAAATCTATAGCATTGATGTCATCTGAAGTTAATTCTTCCAAAACATTTTCATCATTAAAATCATCGCAACCCTTGATTATAATATTATCATTGTTTTTGTCGTTACTATCAATCACTTTATCGATCAAATTGTTTAATAAAGTGATGACTTCGTGACCGAAACCAAGTCTTAATTTATTTGCATTATTGTAATAAATAGTGACATCAATAAAATTTTTGGCCGATTCTATGATATTATTAATAGTGACATTCGGGTCATCAAACTCTTCGACATTGATTTTGATGTTTGCATTGAGTTTTTGTAAAAGAAATGAAGACAAAGAACAGAATGTATAGAATTGTTGTCCAGAATTGGTTTGTCGGCAGAAATAATAGCGATTAATAGGCGGACACTTGTATTGGCGGACAAACTCTTTCTGGTAATCAATAGAAAACAATTTATCGTTTAAGTCGTGCATTGACTGAAAAAGCAAAGCAAACGCGTGTCCAGGACTTTGGTGATCATCTTCGGGCACATCTTTATCAATCATTTTTATTGTCAATATTTAAACTATTTATGTTATTATATTGTTTTGCAACTTAAATATATTAATTAAATTGTTTTGTTTTGTATTTAGAAAAATTGGTTGTTATAGGAATTGGAAAATCAATTATTTATAGAATACACTGTATGTTAGGTTAGGTTTGGTTTATTCAAATAATTCAAATATATATAAAATTTAATTCATAAGTATTTAAAAATATAATTATTTTTGTGTTCAAAAAGAAATTTTCAGATAAAACCAATGAATCCCGTCGTTAAAAGGATATCATTAGTCGGGTATGTATTAATCAATGGTAATCATAGCCCGATATCATCATTATATCAATTGTAGGTCAATAGTAGCCCTACAGATGACTTAAATATTTCTAATTTCTTAACTTCACTTCTATCTAATGTATTATATATTTTATTACAGTTGTTAACACAAATATATATGTTTTATTCATTTAAATTTAATTCAAAAAGATATTTATTATGAAATTTAAATAAACTAAATATATTTATTATGATTATATATATATATATTGAATAGATTATAATTAAATAATTAATTAAATTAATAATATTTTCATTACTGCATTAAAGTATTGTATTATTATTTTATATTTTACTTTTACATTATTTATCCGAACGACAATAAAAACACTATTGCATGTATAACACAAAAAACATATATTAACTATAGATTATGTATAATATATACATACAAAACGATTAATGTGTATAAAGCATACAATCACAATAAGTCACGCCTCTATAGCATAACACATACACATATTGCGCTCATATGAGAAAACAGTGTCGTTGTATGACATTGAAAAAACCTTTAACTCCACGTATTATTTTAGTACTTAAGTATTTAGTGATAAAATGTGATATAAAACCTAATATTATAGTCAATAAAAGTATCAAATGATCAATATTAGTAAATATATATATGTTTATTGTCTTTCGGATAAATAATGTAATCATAAATATATTAATAAAAGCAATAAAAGCGCCAAATTTAAGTAAAAATTTAATATTTTAAAATATATGACATTATATAAGTGAATATTTGGTGAGATTTTCAATAAAATGAGTTTGTATTTAATAAATCAGTGAATATTTATTGTTAAAATTATTTTTATTTAATTTTGTCACTAATAGTATATTTCTCATAATTCTTTGTCGGGTCGTATGGTTCCCAACGACTGGCGGGAAATATATGTTTATTTCGTTCATACCATGACCTCAACAATACTTTTCCTGCGTGTGTCTCATCCTTTTCTACATTAATATCACCCATAAGTCGTATATCTTCGTGAACGTCAAATGCAAAAAGTGGTCCACTTTTGCCGCGGGCTTTGGTCACAATAAAGTCATAAAAAGTGTAGTGCTGTGGGATTATTAAGTCCTCTTTAATATACCTAATAAAGATCATAGAATTTATTGAATAGTCTTCAAATAAATCAATGATTGTCCTCACATGAGTTGATCTGCAGTGACAGCTCGTAATTCATGAAACTCTTTGCGTAAGGTTTCCAACGATTTTTGGAGAAATTGGTAAATGCTATTACCCTTCTTCATGATGGCTGACCGTCTATGACCCGAACCGTCCCAATAACTGAATGTAATCTCTATGTCCTCATCTTTAAGTTTCTCCTGTTTCTCAACCCATTCCTGACGTAACTGTTCCCTCAATCGGTTTTCTTCGTCCTCCCGATCTCTATCGGGCAGAAAACTTGTATCGACGTCGGGATTCTTAATCATTTTGTGCCTCTTTGGTGCCAATGTTGTCGCTGATGATGACTAATGTAATCAAAATAACATTTTAGTTTTAAATAACTTAATAACTGATTAGAAAATCTAACTGAATCTGAATCCTCTGATATTAAGTTCTTAGCGTTTGTATCCAAACAATGGTCACTCTTATCAATAACTTGTGACTTATTATTACTTTCCTCAGTATCGCAATCACTGTCATTGTCTTCTTCATCATCGAATCGAAACGAAAGCGTTTGAATCTGTAATCAAAGAGATGAGTGACTTATGAATACAATTACCGTAATGTCTATTACCTGTTGTTTTTGTCTTTCCTTTTGTTGTCTTTTTTCATCCAATTCTTTCTGTTTGATGGCTTCATTCTTGAGGGCTAATTGTTTTTCCCTATCTTTGACGGCCACTTCTTGTTTGGCTCTCATCTGATCCAATGTAACCAAACCAATAGTAGATGACTTGATCTGTTGTTCAATGGCATCATAATGAGTGGCAAACTTGGATCCAATGTATGATAATTTCATTTCTTCCTCAATCTTGCGTTTCTTGTGCTCTAACTCTTCCAATGCCTTCTCTCTCTTTTTCTGCAACTGGAGAGCCCTTCCGGCCTCAGAAGCGGCGCCCTTGTAGTGAGCCATCGGTGGTCAACAAGTCTTCACGCAATCTAATACTCGCAACAAATCAATTGTTTTATTGTTTTACTTATAATAATAAATATTTACATTTTTGATCCATTAGTTCAAACATAAAGTACGTCAACAATAATAACATATAATTAATAATTAATATATAATTTAATTGATAATTAAAGTTAATTTATTTATATAATTAATACATTATTAAGTGATTCAATCATTTAAAACTAAAATTAATACCAAATTAATGGCAATTATTGTATATTTGAGATATTAATTATAATAATATTATAAAATACAACTATTTTTAAAAAACTTAATATTAATAGTATTGATGTCAACACATGTGCTATACATGTGATACAACTTAATAACAATGACTGACAAAGTGTTTGATTCATTGACAGAGTTGTGTGACTCCGATGACCAACAATTGGTCCGACAATTGGAGTCATTGTGTATGAACTGCGGTGACAATGGAGTGACGCGAATGCTTCTGACAGAGATTCCATTCTTCAGACAAGTGGTGGTCATATCCTTTGAGTGTCCGCACTGTCACTACAGCAACAATGAATTACAACCCGTTCAAGATATCGGTGATCGAGGCATCAGATTTGAGATCAAATGCCACACTTCACAGGTTTGACACAATCAAACATTTCTGTCATTTGATTGTATGTATTGATAGGATTTGATGAGACGTATAGTGAAGACAGAATGGGCTGAGATTCAGATCCCAGAGGTTGAGTTTGAAGTGAAGAAACAGACAGGACTTATCACTACCATTGAGGGTATCATTGAAAGAGCCATCGATGGACTAACACTTAACATACAACAGGTTTAACTCTTTAATTTTATGACTCATTGAATCTAAAGTTTTAATGTCTTCTCGTGAATAGACCAATGATGACGATTCTTCACGACAAAAATTGTGTGATTTTGTTGTTCAATTGAATCAATTAAAAGACGGCACTAAACCTTTTACTTTTGTTTGTATTCATATTATTAATTTATCGGTAAATAATTGATCAATCATTTGAAATTTTTATTATTAGATAATGAATGACATCAGTGGTAACAGTTTTATTGAAAGTTTTTGTTCTCCAGAACTTGATCCACAAGTTTCTAGTAATCGATTTATTCGGGGTATAGAAGAAGATAAAATTTTAGGCATTTATTCGGCAGATAACGATGTAAAGGACGAGCCTAACAATGAGCTTAAGAATGAAGTGCTTCAGTTTGCCACCAATTGTCCCAATTGTTCGGTACCGGTATTCACTAACATGAAAGTGCAACGTATGTCATAATTGACATATTTTTAAAAAATCACTAATTCATTGATTCCTATATAGAAATTCCACATTTTAAAGAAGTTATAATTATGGCCACCAATTGTGACTCTTGTGGACATAAGACTAGTGAAGTCAAATCTGGCGCTGGAATTGGGGAGAAAGGCATTAGAATTACTCTTAAAGTTAAGGATGAAAATGACCTCAAGAAAGAAGTGGTTATTGTATGTATTTTTTAAATATTTATTATAGAAAGTTAAGAATGATTTCTGTTAATTAATATGAAAATAGTCGGACACGTGTGCCATAGAGATCCCCGAATTGGACGTTAAACTATCAATGACTGGTTCGGGAAAATATACTACTGTTGAAGGTATCGCCCAAAGCATGGAAAATGATTTGAAAAAGTCGAACCCATTTATTACCGGAGACTCTCATATTGAATCCATTAAGAAAAAGATAGAATTGTTTTGTCAAAAGTTATCTAATTTGTTGGAAAAGACTATCATTTTGGACGACCCGTGCGGTAATAGTTTCATCACTAATGCCGACGATGTGGTTACATATGAGCGAACATTTGAACAAAACGAAGAATTGGGATTAAATGACATTAAAACTGAAAATTATATTTAAAATTAAAAAACTATTTTTATCGATCTATTATATGTATTATAATAACTGTACTAAAACTAAATTTTATTCATTTGATTAAAAATATCAATAATGCAAACCTTGTGTTAAATACAGTAGATATGGAACTATAATAGTTTCGGTTCGGTTCCTAAATTTGGTTTTTAAAAACGGTTTCTGTTTTGAAAACGGGTTTTAAACAGAATATATATTTTTAATAACACTAATGATATGTCTATTATAAAACATTACCGATATATACATTGTATACAATAGAGTACTAGAGTTTAACGTCATTTATGAATCTAATGTACTGTTTTGTAAAGCATGTCAAACATGTGATCAATTAAAGTGATGTTAAATTAATATCATATAAATAACAGTATATTGTGTTTAAATACATTGATATCACTCTCGATGGGAATCACTCGACAATACCTTCGATGGTCTCAAAGATCACTGTTTGGATGCATTGCTTCACAAAATGCAGACATTGTTTACTTAAATAATGCAAAATATGGATCAATTGATAGAGTGGTGGCCACCGGTCAGTGCGAACGAGTGGCCATTTGGGACACGAAGACTGGCGAACAAGTGATGATATTAAGTGATGACAATTGCAAGAGTGAAGTAACCGCTTTAGTCACTAATGCAAATACGGCATTGTTGGCCAGTGGACACGCTGACGGGACCATTAGGTTATACGATATCGATAGTCGGCAATTAAAAGTTACTTTCTCGGGACATAAGTCACCGGTGACCACACTTTGTTTTGACACAAATGGACTTAGACTTGCTTCCGGTGGTAAAGACACGGAGATTGTGGTATGGGATGTGACAAACGAATCGGGTTTATATCGACTAAAAGGTCATAAAGGAGTGGTCACTAAATTGCAATTTATGACTAATCATTCAGTACTAGTGTCGGCATCAAAGGACACTTACATAAAGTTTTGGGATCTAACGACTCAACATTGCTTTAAGACATTAGTTGGCCATCGAAGCGAAGTTTGGAGTTTTGTTATCTATAACTCAGATCGACGACTAATAAGCGGTGCCTCTGATAGTGAACTTAAGGTCTGGAATATTGTTCATAAAAGTGATAATTTGGACGAATTTTGTACCAAATTAGAAGATCTTAAGATTAAAACTAATACCAGTAATGAAGATATTGACGATGACATAGAAGAGGAGGTGAATGAAGAGTCAGATTTGTTAATAATTGAGAGGTTGGGAACTATTATGAGAAAAAGTACACAAAAATTGACAAATTTATTTGTGGATTCATCGGAGAGACTATTGATATGTCACTCAAAAGAAGCCATAATTGAATGCTTTAAACTTCGATCAGAAGAAGAAATGAAGAAATCGATTAATAGACGCATTAAAAAAGCAAATAAACGACGAATTAAGAGTACCGCCAATGATTTGAGTGGTAATGAAGAGGTAGAACAGGATTCAGTAGACAAAGAGATAAACGTTAAGACATTATCGGATGAAATTGAGAAATTGGAGTTTATTCATACAAATGGTGCAAAAGTGAAGTCATGTGATGTCGTACTCGTCAAGAATGAGTTCAAAGTGGCCGCACTTTTGACAGACAATTCAATTGAACTTTTTTCGTTTCGTCCATTAAGTGAACCACAAATGTATGGTTGTCTCCGATTACAAGGCCATCGAACTGATATCAGATCAGTTAGTATTAGTTCGGATAACTTTTCATTAGCGACAGTCAGTTCCGATTCGGTTAAGATATGGAACAAATCGAGTACTAAATGTATAACAACGATATCAGATGGTGTAGAATATGGTTTGTGTTCAGTGTTTGCACCGGGAGATCGATATGTTATTGTTGGCACAAAGACTGGTAGATTACAGATGTATGATATAAATGCCGCACAACTTATCAATACTATTGACGCCTCGGAAGACTTGTTACCAATTTGGTCGATATGTTTGATACCGAATGCACAGGGATTGGTGTCGGGTAGTGAAGACAAATTAGTTAAATTTTGGACTTTTGAATTACAATTAGACACCGTTTCAAACACGAGATCACTAATTGTTGGTTATAAACGAACTCTGAAGATGGATGAAGGAGTGTTGTGTGTTAGGGTCTCACCAAATGGCAAATTTGTTGCCATCTCACTGTTGGACAGTACTGTCAAACTGTATTTTTACGATACCTTAAAATTCTTTTTGTCATTATATGGCCACAAATTCCCGGTACTTTCAATGGACATATCATCTGATAGTTCACTTATAGCTACCGGTTCATCAGATAAAAACATTAAGATCTGGGGAATGGATTTCGGTGACTGTCATAAGTCAATCTTCGCTCACGACGACAATATAATGTGTGTCCAATTTGTACCAAAAACTCATTATTTGTTTACAGTATCTAAAGACAAAACTCTAAAGGAATGGGACGCCGATAACTTTGAGAAAATAATTACATTAACCGGACATCAAGCAGAGGTATGGGCTCTAGCGGTCAGTCTAAATGGCAAATTTGCTGTCACAGCATCACATGATAAATCAATCAGAATTTGGGAAAAATCTTCAGAACCGTTAGTTTTAGAGGAGGAACAGGAAATTGAAAGAGAGAAACAATTTGAAGACTCATTGTTTGCTCACGAAGAGACTGTCATTGCCGGAGAAACAAACAAAGAGACAGCACTTCCATCTAAGAAAACTATCGAAACAGTGAAAGGCGCTGAAAAACTTATTGAAGCTCTCGATGTGTTTCGTACTGAAATAGAAATACTTAAAGAGTATGAACTTGAATGCAATGTCTGTGTTAAAGATCAGAAACCATTACCTATGCGACCACAACCTAATCCTAATATGATGTACTATAAAACTGACTGTCCTTATCGTTATATATTAGAAGTGTTAAAGAGAATCAAATCCAATGAATTAGAAGAAACTCTTTTAACACTTCCATTCAATTATATAATAGAGTTATTACAAGTATTGGTGCAATTGTGTGCCCGAAAGTGGGAAGTGGAGCTTTTAGGTCGTTGTATTTGCTTTATATTAAGAGTAAACTTTGGTCAAATTGTGTCGACACCAACTTTATTGCCAACTTTGGATCAATTAAGACATCATATGAAGAGTTCAGTTACAGATCTCAAGGTATACCTCTTATTGTTGAATAATCATTAAATATTAATCATTTTTTATAATTTATTGCATTTATTAATGTTGTATTAACTTTTGTATTTCAAGTTTTATATTAACATACTGTATATTTACCACAAATGATTAATGCATTTTGAGATAAACTTAATATAAAATAGACTCAGATTTGTAATATTACTAATTTTTTAGGATATAGTGGGCGTAAACACAGCTTCTTTACATTATTATCATTCAATACTTGAGTCCAATGAAGAAGTTTCATTGTTTAAGGAGGCTTTTGACAAACAGTCTCTTAGAAAGAAACGGCGTACCAAAAGTCATACTACCAGTGCTCCAATAATGGCATGGAATTGATTGTGGCATCACTTCAATGTTTTAATGAAGATAATTATGATTTTTTTATTAACTTTGAATTTTATGTAACAAATATATTTTATATTGATATACAGTATAACAAAATGTATTTCTATAAATTTACTAATAAATAATTGTTGGGAAAGTTATAAATAATAAATTGATGTCTAACTGCCCTAACCGTCATCCCCTCTCTATTTTCTCATCTATTTTTAATATACCTGTGCCGGTGGTCTAACTTTCCTTCTCATAATTAAACTAAATCTCTATATTTAAGTCTATAATTTATATTATGTGTATCAATGAATACATTTTTAAAAAATGTTCCAATTTTTAAAAACTATATAATTCTATAAAACCTATGATTAAAAAAATAGTATTATATATTAGTCGACACTTAAAATTTCGATATAAAATTTGGTAAATTATTGGAGAAATAAATTTAGATTGTATTTAATATTTCCCGTCATTAATATAACAAAAATATTTGTTGTATGGGATTATTGCTTAATATTTTTAAATTACTGTTTTGTTTATGTTTGCGATTAAAATACATTTAAAAAGTGTATTCATTCTTTACATTTATATTTTGTTTGAAAGATTTATTTAAATGTTTCAACTTATTTATCTCACAATTAAATTACATTATATTGTAAATCAAATGGAAAACTAATGTTTGATAGCTAAGGCTCACGACTTATACGATTAACTATTTATTTAATATTATTATTATTATTACATAATGTTATTAACGATCGGAAATGCATTCCTTTTCACAATATATTGTAATTTACAGACACATGACATGCAAGCAATCACTCAATGAATAAGATTTTATGGTATAACCGATGTTAACGTTTTAAACACTATATATCATAACTTTTGAGATCAATTTATTCTATTAGTTTAATCACTAATTTTGTGATAACTATTTTTTTTAAATTATTTACATATATATTTAGGAATTTAAAAAATAAAAGGGTTTTAACATTTTATATGTCACTCGATGTTTACCTGTAAATTAAATATGATTTATAGCTATTTTTTAATGCAGAAGTACTGGCGTCCCTTACAACCATCCTTGCATATGCATGGCTCAGGTATTTAATAGTAAATGAAAGGACAGTGAGTATGAAGAGGATATAGTGTCTGCCGTTTAGGAGTCCTTTAAGGCAATTATTTGAAAATGTTTATTAAAGTCATTCATTGATCAAAACGATACGTTAATATATTTATATATATATAGATATATATTTTTTAATTTAATCAACAATTGAATCCATTATATGGATTCACTACTAATGGTTTACAGTATATTAATACTGTAGTTTACTTATCTTATATATATTAGAAATATCTGTTTTCCTAATATAAACTAATCATTTGTTAACAAAGTTATTTGATAAAACATTTCTAATTATTTTTTAAAATAATTTTTTTTTGTGAATTTAAAAACAAAATTCTTAATAATTTTTCAGAAATGCAATTATATACTGTTTATGATTTTTTAAAAATATAAATATCATATAAAACATATGTAATTCCAAAAATAAGACATTTAAATTATATAAAATCTTTAAAAATATATCAAAATAAATGTTTAATATTTTTATAAATGTTTAATATTTTTATAAATATTATTTTTTTGTGATATAATAAATATAAACGATTATCTATTTAAAGACTGTTTTTAAATAAATATAAAAAATCTCAAAATAAAAATCATTTTTTACATTTATTTTAGTTTCCATAAATTTTAATCAAACTAAATCATCATTTTGATGGACATCTATTTGTTTTTGTGTCAATTTTTACTTCAAACATTAAAATAACAATTTTGTGGCGCATTATATATTAACTATCAATAATTATAAAATTTCAATTTACTTTTTTAAATTTTGATTATTGTTTATAGGCTTGAAATCAATGTTTATATATAAATGATTGGTGATTCCACTCATAATTTTTTATAAACAGAGATTTTGATCACTAATTAGGACTACTTATTAGAGACTGATTACATAAAAAATGAAAAATAGAAAAAAGAAGGAGAGAGAGAGAGAGAGAGAAAGAAAGARAGAGAGAGAGAGAGAGAGAGAGAGAGAGAGAGAGAGAGAGAGAGAGAGAGAGATGAAAGTCTTGTATTTGTTGGCAATAGTTTACTATTCTTGTGGTTCAGTTTTGTTGGGCGTGGAGTTACAACGCTTACCATTATTTATATCAAATGCACTCAAGGAGTACACCAAATGACAAACTAATTTATACTTTGAATGGTTTAAAATGAAATTATTTATATCCGATAATTTTAAATAATAAATTTTCAATAATTATCTTTAAAATATCACTTATAATAATTAAAAATTATTAATAAAATATGAAAAGTAAATATATATATATATATATATATATATGATACTGTATAGCTTAAAGTACAATATTATTGCATTATAAATTGGTATACCTTGAATATACAGTTTATTAAATGATAGACACTCGTCCACACTATATAGTATATACTGTATAATAGTTATAATGTAAAACAGGGACCTGTTTTTAGGGTCCTAATATTATTGCTTATAACATATAAATTAAAACTATACATATAAAAATAGCCCGGAGCAAATCATGACCAGTATCTCTTGAATTATGAGTCGTTAAACGTCCTCTTTCTGGACGTTCATAATATATTATATATACTGTATATATAATCCTTATTTTTTATACATTTATTTTTCTTCTATTTTATATTTTTGTTGATTCTGATGGATGACTGAAATAAATGAGAGGGCACTCAATGAAAATAAATGTATAGTTTTATACAGTACTATAAGTCAATACAATAAGTCTATAATATTGTATGCATTATAGCTGTTGTACACCTGACGAGTGATTTGATGCCCCTTTTCTTACACAACATCTCAACGACTTATTTGTGTATTACATAACATTCAAGAACTGGTTTTTTCAATAAATATATTAACAGAAAATATACTGTATTTCATTAAAAACCCCCAATACTTATGTTTCATGAGTTGAAAAAATAGAAATAAAAATAAAACGTAAAAATGTTTGCATAAAAAATATAATAAAGAAAGAAAATAAAAATTTAGTTCAAAAGTCAAAGAATTTTTACGTTTTAGCTAAAAAACTTGAATTTCTTGCAAATTTTATTCAATATTATAGCATCAGATTGTCTTAATATCATTAAACTATATTTTAAACATTCAACTTATCAAATAAATAATTACTGATTTTTAAGTTAAAGATTTCAAAAGTTTTAGATAAATTTAATTTGTTATAAAGAAAATTAGAAATTTAATTGACTACACATTAGAATTCAATTAATTTGTGACTAATTAACAAAAACTAGTGATATATTTAGAGAACAAATAGAAAGTTTCTAATAAATTTCTCTCAAAAAGTTTATAGAAAATTTGAAAAATTATAGAAGACTTTATTGTTATATTATGGGATCCACATATCTAAAGCTATTGTAATACTATAATTTACATATAATAATATTGATATATATATACTACTAAAGGGTTAAGCAAGGTTTGGATTTTAGGGGGGGTAGACTGGGGTGAAATCTGCAAAATTCTTGGGGTATAGGGTGGGGTATAGACTTTTATTACATTTTTAAAAGGCAATTTTTTCAAAAATCCAAAATCAAATAGAAAATTCTCTAAAATTCCTTAAATTCYCGAATATTCCCATGTAAATTCCATAAAGTTCCCATAAGTTAGTCCATAAGTTAGTCCATAAGTCAAAATAATTAGATTCATATAAATATTAAAAACATAAAAACATTTACTAAAATAGTATTAAATAAAATTAAAATTTTTATAAATTTCAAAAAAAATTCGGCGCCGAGGGCGGGGGTCATTTCTTCTCGTTTTAAGCGACAATTTTTCCAATTTGGTCAAAAAGTCTGGTAAAATCCCAATTTCTTGATCTTAGGGGGTATTTTGGCCTTATCCCCTTCCCCCTTACTTAACCCTGGTACTACTACTATATAAAATGGGATATCTATATATAAAATAATTATAATTATTTAATAATTACCAATTTTGTAAAATTTTATTATATATATCATAGTTTAATATAATTAAATTAATTAATTTTTACTTTAATTATTACATGTAAAAACAATTTATTGTTACATAATAACTAATATCGAGAAAACAAAATTAACATGTGATCCAATAAATAGAAATTTCTTTTAGAAACTTTCTATAAATTCATCTATTATTTTATAAATTTCTCTTTTTTATCAACACTAGATTTATTGTTTATTAAATTTTAGGTAAAATTAAATGTTTATTATTTTCTAATTAAATTTTTTTTCATATCATTATAATCAATGATCCGTTACTATTTAATAATTATGAATGAATGAGTTAAAGTTGAAATCAAATAAAACAATATATTGAATAATAGCTGTTTTTCACATTTTTCAAAATAATTTTGATTTTAAAGTTATAAAAAAGATTTAATAAACTTATATTTGGAAACTATTATGTATTGGATATAATACACTATTATTACTAATATTTATATTATATGAAAATGGATGTCAAACAGAGTTTATTTTATTGGAGATAAATGTTAATTGCAATTATAAACTAATTATTTTTACTTTTATTAAAGTGTAACACTTCACACAAATGTTATTTCAAAATTTTTTGTAAATAAAATTTATGTATTTTATAATTAGTATGTTATGATAATTAATTTACTTTTATTTTATATTACATCCAGTATTGATAATTATTATAAAATATATTATTACTGAAAATTTACAATATTTATTATTATTACTCAATAACTTGTTTTCAAACGTCCCAAATCCTATAGTTTAAACTAATTTCACATACAATTAATATTTATTTAAAATAAATATATGTGAAATAAAATTTGCAAAATATTTCTATATTTTATCATTTGATTTTATGTTCATAACATTTTAATCACAATTACAATCAATTACTTTATAGAATTTTAACTTTTAATCAAAATTATATTAATAAATAAACTTAAATAAATTAAACAACATTATAATTAACAATTATATACTATATTTATATATTTTAGTAATTCTTACTAATCTTCTAAACTAATGTAAGATTTTATTAC